CCCCCCCCCCCCTCCCGTGCAAGGCCCTGTGTAAGAGGATCGATTCCATCGACCGGCGCGGGAGAGAGACAGAAAAAGAGGGAGAGAGAGAGAGCAGCGCACGTCCGTCGTCGGTATGGTGCCTCGCGACATTTTAAACACGGGCCGTCGACCGATGTGTGTGTGTATTTATCGTTTTGCGATGAATTTTGTACTCGAATGATAACGAGATTGCTGGCGAGTTACTCGATGTAAAGAAAGGTTTGAAATACAGCCCCTCTTTTAAAGCAGCGCCTTGTTCATTTCGCGACGAGCCTGAAACGCGTGCGCGCGTTTCCACCATGCCCGGCTTGTCACAATTCATCCACACGCGTCTCTCTTTCTCTAATTAAAAATTAGATTCACAATTCAGAGGCTCACTCAATTCGCAGGTATTTCATTATGCCTTACGATAAAAGGTAAGTCACTATGAAAGGAGGAGCTTCATCGAGACTCCGTTGATAACTTAAGCCGGTCGGGATGCTCGGATTCCGCGTTGGAGAATGTCAGAGATCTCTTGTCCGGCCATCCGTTTAGTGAAAATCAATAATCTTTGTATATTATGCGTATTAACAATCCTGCAAATTGCACCGTATGTAAGATTCACACTAATGACGGGAAAGGTATTCGCTGTCCGCAAGCGCCTCGCCCGGGTAAAAAAAAACGCATCAACTTTCCTTCCTTCGCCGGCTGGCATTGCCTAGTTACGAGCGCCAACGATCCCCTTAATCCTAAACAGTATAAAATACTCCTCTAGAATATTATATTACTATATGCGCGTGCACAGCATACCGTCTTGCCTAAATAATCGCTTATAATGATCCGGAGAATGTTGTAAACTCGCTCACTGAGAAACACACCTAGGCGGAATTGTGTGATAATTATCGAATTACATGATTTGGATATATAATTTACAAAAATAATATATCTCGTACGCATGCGCGCCAATTACATTTGTATCATATTACTTGCAGAAACTAATCACGTACAGTTATTTACAGCATTTACGTTTCCACGCATTAGAAAAATAAATTGCATGAAATTGAGCGTGTGTGTATATATTTATGTATATATTAAGAGAAGATATATAATGCTTGAAAACATTTTTTTTCTTTTTTTTTTCGTAAAATTTGTTATAACGTTTCTACACCGAGTTTTGAAATTCCGCACGTTTCGAGGAGATTTCACTTGTAAATCCGACACTTTTGAAGCATCAGTGAAATCCTCCGAAATCGAATTCGAACGTCACACGACTAATTCCCTACGAAGCTTTCGAAACGAGTCCCACAGCGATCGAAGTAAAAATCAACAGATATATCGTTAAACTCTCTCTCTCTCTCTCTCTCTCTCTCTCTCTCTCTCTCTCTCTCCCTCTCTCTCTCACATGATTAAATTACTTTTTAATCGTATTCTCGAGTATTATACCGTTCTCCGTATTCGCAGCTCGATGGCTTCGTACATTCGATTTGCACGTGAGAAGTTGTAACAGATAACGAAACCTTCCGTCGCTCGAATGAAGAATGCGCGCGGCGATCTGCAATGATAACGAGTAACATTGAGATCCCATCGGCGAAACAACTGGTCCGTTCTTTTTAGCCGAGCTAGCTGCGTTAATTGAAAAAATTTATGCACACCGAAAAGCGAGAATTTCGTACGCTTCGACGTGCACGTGATTTACTGAGCTCTGGTGCAATTCAGCTGAAAAGAACGGACCGAGTGAGTGACGCGATACGAGCAAATCGAATTGTATCTGCGTATTTAAAGCGAACGCCCGAGCTTATCTATACTGTTTAGGGTCAAGGATAGCTGTCGCCGGAGGGATCATCGGCAGGTTGACGGCGACACGGCTACGCTACTTCGCCGAAGTTCTTGTGACCGGTGTCCTTGGCGTGCTGCTGCGCCGCTATCTGCCCGTTCAGTCTGGCCTTGCAATCGTTGCACATGAGCGTGAATTTCTGCACGTCCGTGAATTGACGACTCGACCTCGCCTCTCGCGCGAGCTCGGCGGCCTCCAGCAGCATCCTCTCGTCCTCGGTGGGGAAGATCGTTTGGATACAGCCGCCCTGAAAGAGTCGACGAGTCAGAGATCAAGTTTGGTGCGCGATAACGCGGGTTTTGCCGTTGGAATCCATGCGCGCGATTTTTTTCACGAGATGCATCATGCAATCTTATCGTACTTATCCGAGGAGAAATTGTTTTCGGAGGAGACTCACGTCGAGCGGCTCTAGGTAAAGCGGATCGTAATGAATCCCGTCGAATATGAGAAAGACCCTCTGAGCGTAATGCTGGTCCTCGCCGAACCTGTTGATGATCGCGTTGATGCTGTCGATTACCGCGATCTCCAAGCCGTAAAACTTGGACAGGATTGACAGCTCGATGGCGCCGCCCCACGAGTCAGACTTGAGGATCCACTTGCAGTACTCGGCGTTGGGCCTGCCTAGGAAAGCCTCCGAGTACTCCTCGGAGTCAGCCGCCACTGCGTTAGCTATGATCTCTCTCATGAAGTTGGCGCAACTGGTGTCGACCTTCCCTGAAAGCGCATACACAGCCGCAGCTGCTATCACCTGCTGTACAGCTTGCGAGCATAGTCCCTGCAGCCTTGCTAACTCGGTCTTCCTGATATTATCTTGATCTTGACCCTTATCTTGATTATCGTGGTATCTTCAGGCGCTCGCTTACCGTTCAGCACGTAGCCCACGCTAGTGAAGAGGCAGGAATTGTCGGCAGGCACGACTTTCTTCATCAGAACACCGGGAGCATCCGCGAAGCTCTCCTGGTCGACTATGTGCGAGCGGCTGTAATCGTCGAATTTCTGCTCCTCTCCGTTGAACATAATCTGCGCATTGAGAGACACCAGTTTTTAATTTGATCGTGAACGGTTTTCTTCGTGTTTTAGAGGAGTAACGCCAGATGAGAGACTTGACAAAGTCGGTTTTGGCTTGGCAAAACTGAAATTTCATTTGTTGCACAGTTGAAACCGGTTCCATTGATTATTTCATCCAACACCATTCTCAATGATTATTATATATAATTAATATATGTTGTGATATTATATTCATACTCATTTAGCTAGAACTGAATACAAGTGACACAATGTTCTCTTACTAATGAATGGTATGTTTATTTAACGTAGCACAATGCTCCCCTGAAGCATGGTATCGCTGAAATAATATTAAACACACGATGAATTGAGAACATTTCAAGTTACAATACTAAATTTAAGACTTGAGCTGGTATTCAGCCAGACCTTATATTTAAGATCGCTAAGTTCATTCTCAAATGCTTAGCCAATGAAACGATCTGTACAGCACCTAGAAATGAACTTAAGACAATCTAAATGTTTTCTGTTTCTGAACAGAATTGTATTGGAATTTTATTTTCCCTTTAACGCTAAATCATATACTTGTTTCACTTAACAAAATGTAACCAAAGTCAGGAACAGAAAACAGACCTCTGAATATAAGATTCAACCATGAATCAGTACAGTCTTAAAGTCACGTAAACAATCAAGTGATAACGACCTTAATCAGTCTTATTATTGCACTTTAAATTTACTTTACAACAAAAAGATAAAAAACAAGGAAAAACATCGTGTGTAATCTATCAGGCTGTAAAATAACGACTTGTGGACGGACCCGCTTCTCTTCGACAATCAAGGTGTCCCCAGAGACAATGCCGATGCGCTCGATCGCGGTGTCCGCGTCCAGATTGACGGGCTTCGGTGGGAAGCCGACGAGCACCTGAAGTGCGGCGGCGGGCACGCCAGTAAGCTCGGCGAGCTTCGTTTTCAACTGGAACGCCTTGTCCTGAGGGGTGAGGCCATTCACGACTTTTTGGCCCGACTTTGTTTTCACACGCAGCACGAAACCTGCCATTGCGCTCGAACTGGATTCTGCACGATTCGTGGAGTCAGCGTCAATCAGCTGTCCCGTGCTATCCACGGCACCTTTGTCCACCACCACCGCCTCGTCCTCGTCGTCCTTGTCGTCGTCGACGTCGTTGTAGTTCTCTCCGCCGTCACAGCTGAACGATCAATCATGAGCACTCACCAGGGCACATTGCTGGCGCGATAACCACGGCAGCGCCAGCGATAACTACCAGCGGGTCATCGCACGAGAGATCCTCGACGGGGCGGAGTGGAGGGGGGTGGGCTCCGTTTGACGGATGAATCGACTTGACTTCTCCTTTGTTCGAGAATCGAACTGTTCCCTCAATCGTCGGACTCTGCAGTCGAGCCGCTACTTGAGCCAAACGGAGGCATGTTTGCCTTACCGTTGTGCTGTTCCACTTTGTCACCCTTATCAGTTCCTGAAACTTCCGCTACGAGTCGCCACTGACCTATCGAATGGATACGATTGAAAGATAAAGTAAACGGACATTATTTTCAAATAGTACGACTCGATGGCGGATCGAAGAACGGTGCTTTTCTTCGGCAGGATTAAGTAGTTGCTCGAGGAGATCTTTATTCGTTCTTATGGTAAGCACCGAGCAAACAAATGGTGAATGCGCAATTCGCTCAAAAGGTCCATCTGGTAAGCAAGGAATCATTAACATAACGTTATTGCAATATTTTACAACGTGCACGTTTTGAAATATGTATGTTCTTAATTTTGTGTATTATGTCATTGTTAATAATACTTGACCTGAACATTAGAAGTAATATTTCTGTAATATGATTTTAATATTTAGGAATATTACATTATGAAGTAACAGTTGAAAAACAATTAAGAGTTCCCAGGAAAAAAGATTACATATAATCATATAAAATTATATATAATTATGTATAATCATATGTGACTTGTATATGAATTTTGTCTCTGTGTGTGGCTACATGTACAATTATATATAATTATATATGTCCACACGAAATAAAAATACTGTTGAGTGACAATCGGAAGAAATATTTTGATTGAATTAAGTTTTCACAACGTGAACAGCCATAAGCATAAGCATTTACTTCAATTACATTCGTATAACAGCATTTTTTAGATGTAGGACATAATTACGTATGATTATATATAGACATATATAGATAAAATTCATATATAATCATTTTTTCCTGGGATATTATGTCAAAATGTTTATATGATCCATACAAAATGTCTCATAAGATTGTTTTAAATATTTCTTGCTTGCTGGATACACTTGCTTTCATCGAACCAACTAAAAATTTTTATTCCCACCGGTGCGAAGCAAGAGGACGAAGAAAGAAAAACGAAGATAGACGAGAAACGGTGATTGCCTACTCGCGTAATCAGGCTAATCGTGACGTTTTTCCTACAAGAACTGTTGCTTTTATTGAAATTGGTGTGTATACACGAGTGGCACAGTGCTTTATGTAGTTTGACGCCTTACCGTATAATACTGCGGTTCGAATAATGAGCGAGTTGAGGCGTTTACGCGCCTCGAGATGTTTCCTTTAATAGTCTCTCTATTCTGGTCCGGTGCATAATTCTCTCTAATGTAAGATCTACATTGTAATATGTATATGCATATATACATTTGCATATGCGCATATGCACGCGCGGGGGTCTCACGTAGAAACTGTTCTCCTTTCGCCCGTCTTTCCTCTCGATCGAATTGAAGAGTTCAAAGATCGATAAAACCACAGACTCGGTTCACCTCACGCGCGCATACATAGCGCGCGCTAATGTACTATTTCGTACGTTTTTGTGTCTCTATGTATAATATAGTATAAAACTAACATATAGGAGATATTCAGAATCCTCTGGCAAACTTCCACAACGTCGCGTGTAATATCCCAGTAAGCGAGAGACGTTGTTGAGTCAATCTTCGGAAAACATTGATTTCACGCGAGTAATTCGACGTGAACGTTTCGACGCAATATTTTAGAAATGTTTTTAAACCGTTACTTGACTTTAATATCCCTAAATGTTAAAATTATGGTATGGAAATATCATTTTTAATGCTTGGGTCAAGTATTGTTAATAATTATGTTGCATACAACATTAAGAACTACATATTTGAAAACATTACATGTTTACAAGTATTGTGGCAACGTTGCGTCAATGATTTCTTGCTTATTGGGATCCCAATAAGCAAGAAATCAATTTTATTAAGTCAATTTTTCGAAATTGATTTTACGTAGATTTCTCATAAACATCTTAACACAATATCTTATGGATGTCTTTAAACTGTTACTTGACGATATAATATTTCTAAATATTAAAATCATAGTGTCGAGATATTATTTTCTATGTTTGTGGGTGAAACATTGTTAACGTTAATGACGTTGTATCCAACATTAAGGACTGCATACTTGAGAATGTTACACGTTACAAAATATCACTGTGATATTGTATTAGTAATATGTGACGTTGTATTAGTAATTTCTTGCTTACTGGGATCAAGAGTGAGAGAGAGAGAGAGAAAAAGATTGGGAGAATCCCCCTCCGTCGCGAGGACGCGTTCGGCGAAAGTTAACAACGACGCGATACACATGGCACGCCCGTATCACAAAAGTTTGTTTTGGAAGTTTGACAATAAAGTTTTGAAACGTCCTATATAATGTATACGTATATACATGTACACACATGTGTATATATCGGAGAGAAAAAGAGCACGGATGCCGCGATGTGTATGATGTATATACAAGATCGGAAAAGGAAACTCCCGGAGATGGGGGGGGAGGGGGGAGGAGCGATGGGTTCGTTCAAGACGCCAAGAGAGATATCGATGTTTTTTCACACGTTCACACAACGATGTCACACACAGTGTCGTCCTGTGTGTCCAGTGTTTGTTTCGCTTGTCCGTCCGTCCGCCAGTCTGTCTAAAATGCCGAGAGCGAAGAGTCTCATTGTTAAACTTGAACCGCGCGTCGACTGCAGTTCCCTCCTCCTCGTCGCTTTTAGAATATTGCTTCTGAATACAACGAATGCGACTTCAGACTTTCCTCCGGCCCCACACGCCTTTTTCTTCTTACGCTCTATGTATTATACAAATACCTTATTCGTATAATAAATAAATATATGTATATATGTATATGAATATGTATATATATATATGTGTGTATGTATTTGTATATCCAGAGATATACCGTAATCGAGATACTTTCCGCTTCTAAATGCGATCGAGCTGTGAACACAAACCACCGCGTCTGTTGCCACGGTGTTGCCGTGTGAACGAATCAATCGGAACGTTAAATAAATAATACGACGGTAAACGACACGCGACGATACATGTATTATTTTACAATGTGTAATGATATATAAAAATAATATATCTTGCGGGAAGGGATACACACACGAAGGGACAAAAAGAATATCTCGTACGCGATGTTTCAGATTTTCGTGTAAACGATGAGAGAACCCTCCTTCCTCTTCGAACGGGAAAGCGCGAACGCACCTTCCTCTTTTCCTCCTGTTTTTTTTTTTTGACACTAGAATATCCCACGTGTCAAAAAGGCAGTATATTTGTTATATCTCCCGCCGCGAACCGTGAGTTCTCGTCTGGCAGAGCATTGTTTTTCTTTCATTCTCTCTCTTCATATATATATATATATTTTTTTTTATTTGTGTATATATTTAATCTACGAACCCTGACCTGTGTTATCTTCATTAGTAACTACACACTTTATACTTCAACGTCATTCAATTAATCTCGTCAGCCGTAATAATTCTGAAATATACGATCTTCGCACTTTTGTTTCCGGCTCTCTCTCTAATATCTTTCTCTGTGTCTCTATAATTTATATATATATATATATATATATATTTATATAATATTTATCTTTTTGTTAGAATAACTCGCGAGGAATACAGCTCGCCCCCGTATATTTCCCCTTCTAGTTTCTAAAATAATTATCCCTATGTGTGAACGCGTCAGCGAACATGTGTGTCTTCAGGTAATAGCGTTTAGAAGATAGATCTCGCATTTCACCAGAGTGCCGCGATTTTCGAGATTTACTTTCCGTCCTGATGACGACATGTTTAGAACTACTGCCTAGGTCGAGAGACTCGTGTGTTGTATGTATGTATGTATGTATGTATGTATGTATTTACGTATGTGTGTGTACGTTTGTTGTACGAACTACATAGAGGTAACAGCGCATAATGTATAATTAATAATTATATAGATAACACTATCGAAACAAGTATGTCAATAATATCGCAAACAGAAGACATTCGGTGGATAGATTCGTTTCGAAGTCCATGATAGACGACACGTATGTATGTGTGTATGTATGCACGCATGCATACGATCGAGAAGAGCGAAGTTTCACGTCGAGTGAACGGGAAAGAAGCGTGGTGGGAAACCAATCGGTTTCGCCACGCTCGCGAACGTTTATATGGCACCTGGGGAGATTTACATCGAGTAAAGTTATTATTGGACGGTGAAGCACAGAATAGCGTCGCTAGACAGTAGTTTCCCGGTCTACGTGGATGTACTCCACGAAGCCGGGCTGCTGATGTCAGGACGCCGCCCCGAGAAGCGTCTCCTCCGTCGGTGCTCGTCGTGGCTTATTGCTCTTCTTCGTTCCCTTGTAGTGAAGTCTCTTTGTGCGAGCTTTGGATCTGTACAGACACAGGCAGGACAAATGCCGATTCGGCTTTAGAATTCAATTTCTATTCAATTGTATATATTATTGATTTTCTATTCACTTACACACACACACACACGCACGCACGCACGCACGCACGCACGCACGCACGCACGCACGCACGCACGCACGCACGCACGCACACACACACATGTAAATCTCTTGAACTTGCACATTTTATACAATTAAGGTTTATTATTCATTGTATGTTACTAGTTATTTTGTAAGATTAAAATTTAAAAGCACCTATTTACTCGACACGCAGTATTTGTCATTGTGAAAATAATCTGTTCCAGAGATAATTTGGAGGACTAAGGAGCGACGGATTTCACGGGACGGTCTGGTTTACCTGCTAATAAGAATAGTGAATAGGCACGCGAAGGCAGTGACAATTCCGGCGACGCCGGCCACCACGAGCCACATGGTGGGTGGCAGTAGTCCGAGCAGTCTCGCGCCATTGCCGCAGTTGGCCTCGTCGTGGCCGGAGGGGCAGTGGGCTCGGCCGTCGCACCAGAGGCTCGCGGCGATGCAGGCGCCCAGTTCTGGGCACTTGTGCGGGCAGTCGCCATTCGGCATGGTCTCGTTCTCGACGCCGTTTCTCTCGGGAAGACGTAACTGCCGGCGCAGCGCAGCACGGCTCTTGGAGATCTCCAACCAGGAGGCGGCTGCTTGGCCGGGCTCCCGCGCTATAAAGTCCAGCAGCAGAGCGGGCGGTCGGGGAGGGCCCGGTCGCTTACCCTCGTCGCTGCCCAGCCACTCCTCGGAGAACACATGCACGGTGAATTCGCGAGCGCCCGGTTCCGCCGGACACACCACCTTCAGTAGTCTCGGCGGCCAGCCGGAGTACAGGAGGATCCGATTGGTGGTCGGGCACTTGACCTGATCGGGTGCATCAGAGGTGGCTGAAGGCGGCTCCAACGGCAGGAACCAGCCCCAGGTGAGGACGAAGAGCGAGCGATTCTCGCGCGCCTCCACCAGCCATGGAAGGCCTTCGCAGTAAATATCCGGTCTCGACAAGGGAGGATTCACGAATCTCAGTTCACCACCTGCAACGCGAGTCTGAGCGGAGCGGGGGGAGTTTTTGTTTTTACCCTGGGGGTTGAGAGTCCCACGAGAGTTCACTGAGATTTCTAATACGAATATAGCGGGTTGCCAGGATTGCCGGAGAAAAAGAAACTAAGAAAAGAGATGAAGAAGTTGTAAGTGAAAATAAAGTGGACAGTAAAGTATTGGTAAAGTAATGATAAAGTATGTGACAGAATATAAAGTATATAACGATACAATGTGTGTTAGTAATAATAAAATAGTGGTATAAAATAAAAGAGTGTCGAGGTAGTATGGCATAAATATGTTAGTGAAACTAAAAGTAGTGAAAAGAGAGAGAGAGAGAGAGAGAGAGAGAGTAATAGTAGTAGTAGTAGTAGTGTGTGAATCAAGTATGATCTATGAAAGAGGTAAGAAAAGATAATAAAACAGCAGTGAAATCAGTTTCGTTCGACGAGCGCGATCGTTTCCACGAACTACCTCCTTCTTTCTCTATCGTAGCTCTCATCGCAAGCCCCTTATCGCGTAATTACCTTCGCCACGGATTCGTTGCTTCCGCGGGCACTCCGGCACACGGATGAGCTCGAAGCTGGCGTAGAAGAAGAGCGTGTCAAAGTCCTCGTGCGGTGCCTGCTGGTCCACGGCAAAGGTGATCTCGAGGGCTCGGCTGGACGAGACGTAGGTGAGCGGCAAGTGCGACGTGTTGTCGCACAGACACGCTCGCGCGAGCTTCACATCTCGCCAGGGCGCCTCGTAGATGATCAGGCGCGCCTCCCTGGAGCCGGTCTCCTGGACGCAGCGTGGCCGACCGCTATGCGGGTCGGGGTCGCTCATGCACATGGTGGACTCACCCAGGCTGACGTTGTGCAGCGTCAGGCGTATTCTCTCGCCGTTGCCGGCCTCGATACGGTACCGGCAGTCCAGCTTGCTGGAACCACCGCGACCGAACAGGCGCACGTCGCGCGGCGACATTACCTCTCCCAGGCGCGCCTTGCGCCATATGCGGCTGCAGATGCCGTCGCCCCATGGCTCGCCGGCTTGCAGGGTCGAGACGAATTCGTACTGCGCCTGGAACGCATCGGGGACCGGAAGTGAATCGTACAGTTTCGGCGAATTGGTCGATGCGATTATGTCCCGATAAGTATGAAACATTAAATCAATCTTTTGATGCATTGATTTTACGATAGATTTTGTTAAATATTTTGACACGATATTTTATATTTTAATATTATTCTAATAAAATTTTATAATATTTGATATTACTTAATATCGTAATATTTTATAAATGTCTCCAAACTGACACTTGACAATGTGATATTCCTAAATATTAAAATCAGAGCGTAGAAATATTATTAAAATTTGGGTCGAATATAATTAACAATGATATTGTATGCAACATTAAGAATTCCATACTTGAAAACGTAACATGCTATAAAGTATTGTAAATAACATTGTGTTAGTGATTTCTTGTTTACCGGGATAATTAAACGAAAAGAAGGGCAAATAAAAGCCAAGCGCAATTCTAGTCATGAATAATACAATGCCATTCAAATTTATGAAAGACTTACAGTTTAAGGCTTAAGGAAAAAAATCTAGTTTTTTACAATTTTCCGGAGTTTGTTTGGTTTATCTTCTTTACGGAGAAAAGTAAATATGGCAAGTTTTAACCGAACACACATGAATTTTTCTAAACGAATTTTCATACCATTGGGACAGAAACCGAAGAAACTCACAGAAAAACTGGGAAAAAACGGTTTTCTTCCGAAACTTCAAAACTTTAGAAAGATTACATAAATAATTTATAAAGAAAATACAAAGTCGAGTGCATGTATGTTTCGATTCAAATTATTCGGGTTCTCTTCTCAGGCGAACAATAATATGTAAAGGTGCAAAGTAGACGATCTCCATAATCGTTTGTAATCCGTACATCATGAGAGTTACCGTCTCTAGTCTCAGTCAGACTAGAATTAACATTTACAGCTTATAGACAATTGAGTCTTGTACTCATCTGTCACTGTTAACGGGCAATGACAGGGAGAGCAGTTATCATAGAAGCTAAAGCCAAGTAGATGCCTTGGCCATGCATAAACCAGTAGATTTGAAAGGAAGATACTGTAATAAGAATGGCGGTGTGGTGGACAGCCCGAAAGGGAGCAACTCGGAATATATATAAATTACGCTCAGGAAGAAGGCCACAAAACAGAACATGTCGATAAACATGTGTACATATCGTGTAATTACCTAATAGATAAATGCCCATTCCAGCCTTATTCTGAACTCTCTTTTATCGATAAGTGCCTTTAAAAGTGGCTTAGAAACTACCTGACTCAGGAGCCACATGTAAGGCACTTTTATCGATAAAAGAGAGTTCAGAATATACGGGCCTGTATCTTTCTAGGCTTACCTACCTATCTATTTTCTTGACCGTAATTTACCAAAACCTGTGAGCGTTTCTCTCACAGTTGGTGCGATTTTCAGACTTGTCGAGTTGCAATTTCTCAAAATAGCCAAAGTCGAATTGATCTCGATAAGTTTCAAGCTCGGCTTAAAAAAATTACTTCATTATAACGATATTTGCGTTTTCGAGGGAGACAATTACTTTTCTGCCATCCCAGATGGATAGAAATGCAAAAGCGCAACATGTCTAAAATATGCTCGTTTCAACGGATACCTCATTTATTACGCTATAATCAAAACATTGACTTCTTATTATCGCCATAATTCCGGATTAATTAATTGCGTTCTCTTTCGGGCAAATAAGCAACAATATTAGGAGAATATCGTCGCAATATCGCCGTAATTTTCACGACATCCGACGATCTTCCTTTACATACTGACAAGATGCTTGCTTGAGGACGTATCTTAACACATCTCACTTGTACCAATCGTCAAACAACACACCGAAATATATTTATCTCGGATTCTTTTAGTATGAGAAGAGACGCTCGAACGGGCCGGCCTTGTACACTTACGTGGAAGTTGACCGGGTGTAGCGCGGTCCCCAGCACGGTCTCCATGCGCAGCGTCAAGCTCGGCGCGGTGGTCAGGTAACTCTCGTCCTCAGTGCACGGCCTGGTGCTCCTGGTGATGTTCCGCAGGGCGGCGTGGGCGCAGAGCTTGGGCGTGTCGTCGCAGAGCGTGGCCATCGGCTGGCCGCTGTTGGGCGCACCGTCCCAGAAGACGAGCTTGACGGCGCAGCTCGGCTCGGAGTGGGCGCTCGCGTTATTCTCGCCGTTGCCGGTGAAGTCTCGCTGCGAGTACGACGAGAAGTAGATCCATACGCGATCCCCGGTGGCGCCCTTGATGTTCCACGTGCAGCTGGAGCTGGGCGGCAGGGCGTGGAGGGGCGCGCGGATGCTGCCGCTCCTCTTGCTGGTGCCGTTGACGAAGAAGTGGCAGCCCTGCGGGCCCTTGGCGTAGTCCAGGCCGTCCGAGTCGACGTAGATGACACGCAGCTCGAGCTCGAGGCGCAGGGCGGACGCGCCCAGCGCTATGGCGACCGGCGAGCTGCGGAACTCCACCTGCATGGCGGGTCCGCGCGCGGTCACCTGCGGCAACGGGCCGCCGCAGTACACCAGAAGGATAGGATCCTCGGAGCGCGCCCCGTCGCGGAAGATCAGCTGGTCCTTCTCCGCCGGACAATCCTGCCAGACACTGAGGCTCGTGTTGACGATGCTGAGACCGGCCGGGCCGGTCGGCGTGCTCTTTACCGAGATCATGGCGTGCTTGCAGGTGGGCACCTCCTTCTGCCGCACGGTGACGATGCAGCTGGCGTTGCGCGGATACTCGCCCGGGTAGTTCGGGCTCTGCAGCCTGCACTGCTTCAGGTGGCACTCGTAGAAGTTGCGCGAGCAATACGTGCCGGGCACAGGCGAGCCCCGCTCGATCGGCAGCTCCGGTTTGCCGAGGCGCGCGACCGCCTCGTTGCGCGCGACGAAGCGGTAACGCAGCCGGAACTCGAACGGCACCGTCGACGGCGCGTGGAACAGCCGTATGGACGCGGTGACGGTGCTGGTCTCGCTGTAGTACGTCGCGCGGCCCTCGCCGGCGCCGCACCACGAGCCGCCGGTGAAGTGCCGGCCGAGCTCGGCCAGCTGCAACGAGCCCTCCGGGCAGCTGGTGAAGTAGTTGTCGGCGTTCGGATCGACCCGGCCTACGCTGAACGCGTCCCACAGTAGCTGCACCAGCTCACCGTAGCCCTGGCCGGCGGCGGTGAAGGTCAAGTGGCAGAGGAACGGCAGCCGCTCCTCCGCCGGCCTCGGCAGATCCAGCTTGTACGTGCGACCCTCGCGCCCGTGGTAGGTCCGGTTGCACGGCGTGCACATCGCCGGCTCGTCGCTGGCGTCCCCGCAGTCATCCTCGCCGTTGCAGTAAGCGTCTATCGGCACGCAACGGCCGTCGTTGCACCTCAGCTCGGCCAGACCGCAGGTACCACCGCCGCCGCCGCTACCACCGCCGCCGCCGCTGCCGCCGATGCCGCCGCCCCCAGTGCCGCCGACACCGACGCCGCAGGACGCGTCGATCAGCAACAGCGAGACGATACCGACGAGGCTCAGTCGAAAGCGTCTGACATCGTCGATGCCCCCTCCGGCATCAGCTATCTCCTGCGAAACGCAAGCGAGAGATCAGACTCCGTCGTCTCTCGATACTATCTCGACCGCCTCGTTCTGCGCGCGTTTCGTTTCATTCTTCATCTGAATTGGCCACACCACTTCGAGATATGTTGGATGCACAATGAAGCGTATTTATCGTACATGCGAAACCGCTTCAATGCGCGTGAATTTCTCGAACTGGTACTGGCCGGGACTGTGAAGAACACAGTTCGTCGTATTTGAAGGTGAGAAGAAGAAAACGCGCGCAGAACGAGGGTGCTCCGTTCGCCCGTTCTTCTTCAAGTCGAGTCGCACTCGAGGAGAAACTCGAACGAGCGAGACGGTGAGAAGAATGCCCCGATTGATCCCTCAGGGTGACTCCGAGTGACGACGGTAACGGCGGTGTGACACAAAAGCCGCGAGTCCCGCGCGTTAATCGCGTTTACCGTCCAAGCCGCCTTGAGCGGTCGAGATTTAAATCAATCGGCGGTTCCCGACGATAGCCGCCGTAAACACCTGTTTCGCGTCTCGGGTGCGATTGTGCGTGATCACTCCGACGATTACCATAATAGTTCGTCAGTGAAACGGGCATCACAGTGACAATTCCGACGTGAGGGTGACTCGAATCGCCGATGACGAGGAGACGGTGCGCGGCGTCATGACATGCGGCCGACGAGGAGAGTCGACGGGAATAGAGAGAGAGAGAGAGAGAGGAAAGGAAAACAGAGAGGAACTACGCGCGGCCTCCAGGCGGGAGTTGCTGCTGCTGCTCGCGACCGACGACGACGGCGATCCTCGCCGTCACCGACGACGTCCTTCTTCCCGACTCGTTCATAGTATACTCCGCGGGATCGGGCCGACTTCACCGTGAGAGAACGTGAGCGTTAGAGACGTGAGAGAGCGACGCCGGACAACCCCGCCTACGCTGGCTCACTCTCTCTCTCTCTCTCTTTCGCGCGCGCGTGCCAGCTCCTGCGACTCACTCCCGCTGCACCGCACGCCGAGGAGCGCGCTGTGCACGCCCCGGAGGTCGATGCGCAACTGCACACGCCGTACACTTCTCCCGGAGGGAAGCCGCGCTGCAGGCCGTATATTGGGGCAAAGCAGGGGTGGACGGGGCTGAGCTCGGGGAGAGAGCCTGGCTGCTAGGCGCCTCAATGCATCGATCGGCTCTCGCTCTCTCATCTTTCTCCCTCCGTCACCTTGTCTATTTCCCTCTCTCTTCCTCCGCCCCCTCCCCTTCCTGTCTCCAGCCCTGTCTATCTCTTCCGCCACCCCCTGCGAAGCGAGGATTGACAGCGGCATAATTTCGCCGAGCTCAATCTCCGATGGGGACGGCGCGCCGAGAGGCTCCTTCGCCTTCGCTCGTCGCGTTGCCATCGTCGCCAAACGACGCCGGGGAATGCGTCGTCTCCGCGACATTCGAGTGCAAACTACTCGCGCTACTCGAGTAGTGTTTACTTGAATCCTCGCGCGTGCTGGCGAGCTCGGGAATAGCTGCGACGAGCCGCTTCGCGCGATCGTCTCTCCTTCCTCTTCTTCTTATTTCGCAAACTCGCAAGTTTCCATCCGTCCCTCTCACCTTCCTCCGCTTTTCTTCGCCGCTTCCTCCCGCCCGCGTCGCCGTCGACGTTCCACTTCAAACGGGTCACCGAAGATCGAGGAGTCCGCACGCCTGTGTGTGGCACGCCAGGGCGGATGTTGAATTTTGAAATTCCGCCTGTAATATTTACGCTCACGCGTGATTCCGCCTGAGCGGTACCTGAGACCCTTTTCGCGTTAGTCGATTGCCGCCTGTATATTTCAGCGGCTTTACCGTCGCCTGTTATATTTGCTCCACTTTCGCGGCGTTACCGCAGGAACTCGGAGAACCGTGGCCAACGCATCGATCAGGGCTTGCTTCGTGACGAAGGAGACGGCGATCTACGCGACGCTCGCCGGCCACTCGGGGATCGATCGATCCGAAATGACCTTAACGAGCTTCCTCCGAGTCCTGGAAACAGAGCGGAGCTGCGTTTTCATTTTTCATCTTTTTCCTTCCGTCCTCGTTGGGAGTCGAAGTTTTCGGGAGCGTCAGCATCGGAGCGCCGGGAATCCCGACATGTTTCACCTTCCTCGAGGCTGTCGAGTCGTGCGCGCGCTTACTCGGATTCCGCTTATCGGAATTTTTGCGCTCTACTAACCGCCCTCTGGTTACTCTCCGGTGGAGCATCATTGACCGTGTTTGCAAAAACACGCTATCTCCTTATTCGCCGGCGAATCGAAAATCCGCTTGGATTGCGCGGCGCGCGTTGCATTCGTGCGCCGCCCGGCGTGATCGGCCGTTCGGTTATCGGCGAGCGAAGAGAGACGAGGCGGAGATAAGCGCGCCGATTGTTTCAGGTCGACTCGCAGATTTCCCACCGGAAACGGAGATTACCAGTGTTTGCTCTCTCGGCCAGGTCGTATCTAAGCGGGCTAAAATCCGCGATCCTGCGGCTCCGGTGGCTGCAACACAGACGAGAATTGCGGGGAATAAAAATGTACTTCTATCTAACAAGCGGATTTGTAATCTCACACGAGGATTTAGGTCGACTTTCACCGAATCCTGGTTAAGCTAATGGACGATTCAAAATTGCCGTCAGTCTCGAATATTATCTTTTTTCGAATATTATCTCGCCAAGAGAAATTATATAGAAATTATGTGTATAGAAATTTATATTTTATTTTGCAGACAGAAATTATTACCTTTTCGATTATAGCTGAAATGACAAATTATAGAACTGCAGATTGGTGTCAGCAATTTTTGTTATTATTCATCAATCGATCTAATCCTGAGTTTATGGTATATAAAATCACCTTTGAAATTGTTATCAAATATTATTTGCATTATACTGCCAACACGGAGAAATTATTAACGTTTCTATTAACGTTGAACGACAAATTACGGAATTGGAATTTGCTGTCGATAATTCCAGGTATTATTCACCAGTTAGTTCAGAGTTTGCTGAAAGTTACCTTTAAAATTGCTGTCAGTCAAGTTTTACTCGCTTTATTTTGCCAACGCAGATAGAAGTTATTGAGTTTTCGACTATTTGCTGAACGATAAATTACAGAATTGCAGTTTGATGTCAGCAATTCCAATTGTTATTCATCGATCAGTTTAATCTGAGCTTGCTGAAAGTCATCCTTATTTATTACTTGCGAATAAAGGGCGGTAAGTTTGATTCCATTACCATCCCGATCTTTCAATTAGTTAATCAATTCGTACCTATTTGTACACTATATTATAAATATATGCAAATTAGACCTGCAATTTGGCTCTCACTGTTTTTTTACATAGTCTTTTGACTATAATATTACGCATATATATATAAAATCTTTGATATATAATTTTTTGTGACTCAACTGGAACTGGATCGAATTGCAGGTACTTCGACCTCGGAATTTCGTTCTCCCGACGGCCTCTCGACATTCCCGCAGGTACCAGTAGGCATGGGGAACGAGGAGGCCGACGAGCAAGACACATCCGTGCATCCGGGGCGAAGCGTGTCGAGGACGTCGTCATCGTTCGACGTTGCTGGCCCTAATACATACGTGTGTGGCCATTGGTGCGTATATCGCGGCACGACACTCGCAACGACGACGATGGGCCTATCGAACGCGAGTGCACACCCTCCTCTGTCGAGAGTGCTCGCGCGCCAAAGGGAGGAGAAGAGAGATCGGTAGCGCTCTTATCGCGTTATTAGTGGCAGCTGCAGCACTGTTGCCGCTGCAGCTTGGTCGTTCCCCTTTTCTTTTCCCCATCGGCTATCGATCTCGCCTGATTATCGCGCCGCTTATTATAAACAGTTCATTGTCCGCAATGCTTTATCAATTAATCCTAGGATGCATGAGGACGATATCTCGCTGTATTATTATATCCGCCCCGTTGTCGTCTTCAGCGTTTCTTCGTCTTCCGAGCGACTTCCGGCGAAAGAGGAAGAGAGAGAGAAGGAGGGGGAGGGGGCTTCGTGTCGTATTTCGATTGCTCGATTTAGGTTGATCCGCTTTCCCATTTTATTCCAGTCATCGCGAAGGCTGATGCGCACCGAGCGGCGGACTTTTATTAGGCGGCCGACATGCATTATGCGGCCGAGGGTCTAACTTTGTAACTCGGTTATCGCGTGAATCCTATATATGTAACGACACGAGAGAGAGAGAGAACGATTGTACGTTACCACACGTAGGATATCTCGTAGCTCGTAGGGTATTTTAATTTTGAAACTGGGGAATTCCCCCCTCCCCTCTCCCCTTTTTCTTTCGGTAAATATGAAGTCGGTCGTTCCTGTGCGCGAAAATTAAGGTCGCGCGAGTTCTGGAACATCCTGTGCACAGCGTTGTCGGTTTCAAGTATGGCATTGTGTGATGGACGAAGTAATCTACCCTCTATACGCGGTAGTACAGAGAGACGGTAGTAAGAGAGAGAGAGAGCAAGGTAAGCGCGTAGGTAGTTCCTTGGGGACGCGAGCTTTCGGGTCTCATGCACGTCACATACATTTACTTGACTGTAGTTTTTAACTTGCAATAAACTCGCATCATGCTTTGCGAAGCCGCTCTCTTTCTCTCTCTCTCTCTCTTTTTTTCTGTGTGTATATATGTATAAGAGCACTACGTGCATGCAGAAGATACGACCGAATGCTAAATGCACACAGGATGCACACGAGAATGCACATTCACTCTGCAAGTAGACTCACGACGTGTATTTCGCTTTTCGTCTTCGGCGAGCACGAAGAGCGCGCTTGGATCATGCTATGAACTATAAACTAGAAGGAATGCTCGTAAAGTATCACATTCCACTCAGTGAGGTTGCACTACGGACGAGTATTGCGTATTATGGTAACAGTAACTGTCCGTCTTGTTTATTACTCATCTCGCCAAAAAGCTTCGCGCCGAGACAATTGCACCGGTAAGCGAAATAGCAATAGCTCTCGTTAATAATGCCTCCCAATTCGTACGTATTTGCATTTATTGTTGCGATCAATGCGATAGGGGTTCTTTTTTCAGCGACATTAGGCAATCAGTAAATGTTAACGGAATAAGGAATACTTCTGTTGATTTTTACATATTGAGGAAACTTAATCTAGAAGCTTGTGGTGAAATAATAAAAGTGCACAAAAAGAAAACGGAGGATACTTCTCCTTTGGTAAATAATAATAATAAATATTAATAAATGTAAAGTTTGAGAATATAAATATATATATTCGTACAAGGTATGAATATTAGGCGGGATTGCTAGATTCATCAGATGATTTAATGTGCAAACTTGCGGACAACGTCGAGCGACGATCGTTCGTCACTAGAGTATTGTTGAATAGCATTACATCAATTAATATGGGGCGCTTAGTAACAATATTACGTCGTCATATGTATATCTACAACAATGTAACTAAATATCTATTAATTTAAAAAAAAAAAAAGAAAAAAAACTCGCTAGTCGTACAAGTTTCTTTTCATTTCATTTATTCGCGCACGCGCGAATCGACACGTTTATATAGCTGTTTGCTAATTGTTAAGAGAATAGAAAACTTACGCAGAAGTTCCTTAAAGCTATTAAGATACTTTTCATTTTCTGCTAAACCACGACAGCGGTCCGTTCGAATTGAGAAATCGAACATACACTTCGACTGTATGTATGACGTGCACCTTAAAGAGAAGGAGTTTAGTCTACGTATATAGTATTAATCTAAATTACGTATATATATAATAGAATTTCTCATCACACGTACAAAATATGAAATTTCGATTTATTCAATTATTCATTTTCATAGTTCCATCGTCGTGTCGTTTATAGGGAACGTGGTGAGCGGCTGCGAACCGCTCGAACAATTCTGCACCGCTATGATTTATCGGAATAAATATTAGAAGTGCTTAGAGAACGGATTGGCGAATCTTAACGACTCCCCGAAAGAATTGATCGCATGAAAATGCGAGAGTTGACCGGTGTGAAGCTGGCGCCTAACTTTGAAAAAATAAAAATATATCATATAGCTCGATTGTTATTCGTAAATAAAAATGAAAGAGATACAACCAAGTATAAATGATGCACCTTTCGAACAGCATAAGTGAAATTTAAAAAATCTTTTTGCCGGGCGTTGGGTATTTTTTCACCCCCTTGTGTTTTCTAATCCTTCGAGGTACAAACGAAAACGAAAGTGATACAAACGGATACGAACGCAGAACAAACGAGCTGTATTATGTATTTTTATTTTTTCCCAAAGTTGGGCGCCGGAAAGTTTCGCACCGGTCGAAAGTTGTACGTTGAAACGTTGAAGTGTGTCGACGCACCGAAAGGACGCACGTTCGTCGCCGTGTCGTCGCCCTTAAAACGCGTAACGTGTACGTATATCCTCCAGTTTCTTCGACACCTCGGAGGGAGTTCTCTCGAGGTCGCCGGAGATGCTCTTCTGCTTCGCCGGCTCGATCGAGTTGAACTGCTCGCACAGATCACCGTCGATGACGTTCTTCACCGGATAGTAGTACGATCTGAAAGAGAGATGATCCCTGCCGCACAGCGGCGGATGCTCCGATCTCATGTGCATCTCCAAGTGCTGAAAGAAATCGTGGTCCTCGTGACTGGTGAACGGCACCAGGACGCCTACTGTTCCGCTCAGAGTCGTGTAGACCAGACTCTCGGAGCCACCGGGTATGAGAGTCGCCTTCTGCAGCGACATCACTGTCTCGCCGACGTGGAAGCAAGCCACCGTGTCCGCCTTCTGACTCGCACCGTTCAACAATCCTCGGTCCCACAGAGCCTTATTGCCTGTAGGGTCTTCGTCCACGTCGTCGTTAATGCCGGTAGCTAATCGTATCTGTTGGGGGCGAAAAGGAGAAGGAAGACAGATGATAACGCGATTACACGATACAATCCAATTTCACGCTGGAACGACTTGGCTTCGTTCGATTCGGAATCGCTCCCGTGGGTAAAGCCTCCAAGATCAGCGCGACAATGAATTGCGAAGTACATCACGATTGTGACTGATTAACTTGAGGAATAAAAAAGCTGTATTTCTTTGCGTCCGTCTTCGAAATTATCTCTTTATCTCGTCTCTTTAACTGCATTATTCAGTTTTCTAGACTTTTATCCGGAGTACTGACTGTAGAAACACGACGGGAGCGACTCACAGGAGGGATCATCACCGAGGAACTCGAGGGAGGCGACTTACCACAGCTATGTTCCCGAACTTATCGGCGGTGGCGACGGTGTCGTAGTCCAACACGCAAGTCGTCGTAATCCATCTGGGATGCGTGTCGTCCGCGAAAACGATGAGCTGATTCTCCTGCCGCTTGTATCTCACGGCGTACACCGACTCCTGCACGTCGCTGACGTAAATCCGCTGGCCGATGGCGTTGATGGAGACCACCGCGTTCGGAATGTGTTTGTTCTCGCACTTTCGCAATAATTTCTTTTTACCCATGTCGTAAAGCCGCAACATCCTTCCTACTCCCACTAATACCCGGCCCTGATACGGACAAATGGCCAGGGGAACTTCGTCCAATGGAGATTTGTGCAGAAGCTCGATGTTCGTACACTCCAAATTTACTCTGTGACAGAAAACAGTTGTTCTTGATTACGCGGGTTCCCGCGATATTTTGCAGAAATTGAGAAAAGCGTTCATTAACAGGTATCTTTGGCATCAATCCATTAATAAGTGCTTCCTCGGAAAATCAAATCGTAATTCTCGTCGTTCGACTCCACGTGTTACGAAAATATTAGGAGGATAACATATAACATACAAACTCACTTGTACGTGTAAAGAAATCCACCGTTGCTGACCCTGGGATTCAACTGAAAGTCCTTCGCAACCCCGACTATGAGGAACAGCTGGTCTCCTTGATTGGCGAACTTCACCAGACAGAGGCTACGGAAAGAGGAAGAACGCATTAGCACCGATTCCTTCGTCACTGATCCCCGACTCGACAAAATGTCCCTTCGTTGCTCACCAAAGCGCAGCCAGGTTTTGCTCAAAGCGGTGTACTTCGAACGTTTGGCCAGTCGTGGGCGCCATTATTCTCAACGAAGACGCCCAGAGACCCGGGCCCGCTCTCGGGGCGCCGAAAACAGCCTCGTTCGGCTCCTCCGAGAGGAACGCTTCCGCCAGCTCTCTCGCGACGGCGGCTTCGTCGGCACCTGCGGCCTCCTGCATCTCCTCCGCCATCTGCAGCCGCCTCTGTTGCTTCGTCTCATCCGTGTAGGCGTTATGTTCGGTCTCGATGACCACTAGGTGCGCGGAATCGCTGTGTATCGCGAACTTCCGCGGTGTGTATTCCAGGGGGAAGCTCACTTGATTGAACACCGCGCCGAGTTTCTCGAGCGCCAAGATCCGAAGAGTGTTCGTCGATATGGCAACGATGCCCTCCGGGCACTGCTCGGAGCTGAAGCCCGACGCGAATTCCAGGCTCTCGTAAGACAGGGGGGTCAAGTGGAAACGATTCTGATAGTAGTAACTGAGCCATGATCTGCTGCTCATCGCTAACACCGCCTGGTTGCCCTGCATGCGTATTCTGAAGAGCTTCACCGGCCGAGAACCCAGGTAACGAGTTCTCGTGTCCGCGAGGTCGCCCGAAATTGGGTCCAGCACGGTCCTGAGCAACACACCGTTCTGCAAACCTGGATAGTAACGCGCATGATAGCGCAGTTGGTGGATTAAGGTCTCAGATACAATGAAAGGAATACGAATCAAGGAACTGAATGCAGGGAATTTGAAATATTATAAATATAAGATATAGTTTAAAACGATAAAAGGAATAAAGAATAAGATGTAAGAACGTTTTGAAACGCTACTTTTATTATATTTTCTAACGAATCTTTAAGATTGCAACATTTTTTTCTCGAGTTTCGCGACACGACCTGTGTCCAATAGAAAAATGTGTCTCCCAGTTATTCTCAGGTGATATATTTTCTTACTGGATACGAGATCGTTGCGAAAGTCGTCGGGGAAGTGTTGCGATCTTTAATCCGTCGACTTACGACCAACATCTCTCGGAGGCGATTACTTCGCAAGTGAGAGGCGAGACTCACCTATGTTCAAGTACAAACTGGACTGTTGCGGCGCCGAGTCTTCGGAATTGTCGGCATCCTTAACACCCATCTCCACGATACAGAGACTTTCGGCGGCCGCTGGTAATGCCTGCATGCTCCTCGGCGCCAGACAGTCCGAGGGGTCCAACGAGATTATCCTCACGGTGTTGTCCTGCAACCCAACAGCCAAGAACCACGAGCGTTGCTCGCCTACGGCCACGTTGCCAAGGGCCATACACATGACTTCCGAAGGCATCTTCTTCCTTTCCGTGTATTCGTTCAGCTGACCGGTCTGAAGACAAGAGTTTTTTTTTTTTCAATCAACCAACGGCGCCGACAATGAAAACGTCTTTCGCGAAATCTTGTACACTTCTTCTCATCAACTTCAACCGCCGAGCGGTCGACCACGCGAAGATGAAGCGAGTGACTTTGCTCTTCGCATCTTTCACATCTCCGAGGACACGGATCAAACGTCCTCGAAGAGAACAATCGATGCGAGTAATCGACCAATCGTCACGTTGGACAAAGCTCTGAGGAAAGTTCACCGCGGATACGTACAGGATCCATCTCGAAGTAGACCAGCTCGCCTCCGGTGAGGGCGATAACTACTTGACGCTGATTGACGGCGCACTTGACGATGGTCTTCTTGCCTGGCGCCTTCCACTCGTTTACGCGCTTGTCCGCACGAATGTGGCGAATACCGTCCGGGTAAACCTGAAAAAGAATCACGTTTGGCAAAAATCTGACGAGGAATCTCGTATCATATAATAGTAATAGAGCGAATTGCATCGCTTGTGTTAGTGTGTTAGTGTCGTATATATCAATACATATATATCAACAACAACCCAGTCGAGAGTTTAGGTAAAAGGATTGTCGGGCCCGAGAAACCAGGAAAGTTCGTACGAAATCGGAACGTTCCAACGATGCATAAGCCCGGACTATATACTCTAGCACTCAGAATTACGACCGGCACGTGGTGGGCCAGGTGCCGGAGATACCATAGTGCAACGAGAACTCAACGGATAACTTGGGAGATAGTTTCATCGTGAGAGAAGGGCCATAAACTAAACTCGATTCCTTTGAATTCCATTTCAAGTGACATTTAAAGCGATCTTTAATCGCGTTTACGCTCCAGTTGCGGCCCTTGTCTCTTTTCGACGTAACTTTGTCGATATGTTATCATAAAGTCTTGCGAAATCTTCCTTTAAGAATGTCATGTTCAGTATACCTGCACCAACGCGTCCTCGCCCAAGGCGGAGCAACTCAAGGTCGGTGTTGTACCGAGGAAACCCGAGTCCGTTACTTCCTCGACAGTTTCGCCGATACTGAGTACAAGCGTAGCATTCACGAAGGACACTATGATGTATGCATCATATTCCTCTGCAATCAAAATCATAAAGCTAATTCTCAGTAAGTGGGAAAGTGCGAACGAACATTGAATCGCGTGTTCTGTTTTTCGTCTTTTTTTTCTTTTCCTTTCTTTCTTTGTAATATTTGCACAGAATATCGTGACACTAAGCGTTCTCCTCGAACGAAACCGCGCACGCTCTCACGTCGGGCACGGAAAGAGTTGAGATGTGAGCTTTGTTCTATTCTCTTTTCTTTTTTTTCTCTCTGTCGAGCGAATCGACTCTTGCTCGTGCCAATTTCGTAAGTCCTTACCTTTCGGTCATTCAGAGTTCTGTGGGTCAACCAATAGCGTACTGGCATCCTGAAAGAGAGAACTGGTGTTTGATAAGAGTGTATCAAGCCACCAGGTTCATTAATATCGTTTATAAAAACCGATGCCATCATTTTTTTTTTCGTTCGTTTTCTCTTTAAAAGCGATCTACGATTTTCTTTACCCGAGTCGTACACTACTAGTTATTAGTATTCCTTACCCCAGAGCTTAGCTCAAATTTGCTACGGTTGAGCGTTTAAATCCGCTTCTTTTCTTTGTCGTGAAAATTAAGGGAGGGACAAAACGATAAACGAGAGTCTACGATACCTCTCTAACGCAGACTATGTGAGAAAAAGAAAGATTTTCGGTCCACAATGGCATACAAAAGAAGGTTTTCGAAGATGAGAAAGACGAGGCGTGCGCGAAGAATATTTCTCCACGAAAAGAAAGGGGGAGGGGAGAGGGGGCAGAGAGAGAGAGAGAGAGAGAGAGAGAGAATAAAACCGATCATAGCTAAAAATTCATCGGTTGTCGAAGTAAGCGATTCGAGTGGAAACATGCAAACAGTTGGTATGTGTACAAATATTTTTCGACTAACCATCGACTCTTCTCTTCACGGTCCATACAGCGTTTGGGTTACCGGGCAACTCGCTCACGGCCATCTCGGAGACCTCGAGCCCGTGACGCAACACTCGCAGAGTGGATCGTGGTCCTCTGCCGCAAGCGATATACAATTGCGGCGTATCTTCGTTCGCCAGATCCGCCACCTGTGCGCCGATAAGAGATAATCAAATTTTTTCTCTCCGATGATATTCTAGTATTTGCGTTATTGCCTAAATTTCTCAACTGAAATCTTTTAACTAATAATTTGTTTTAAATCTCTCAAAATAAAACATATATAAACTTGATAAAAATATGAATATCAGGTTCTTATTGGCCGGTCGATTTTTCTTTGGTTAAAAAATGTAAACTTCTCAGAGATTAAATTTAATCATATTTTACTGGTTGGAAAAAAAATTTTCCTTTACAATTCTTTTTTCCTAAATTCATCATAAAGAGAATTTATATTTTTTAACATGTGTTTGTCCCTCTTAGAGTTCACTTCGATTTGCAGGAACAAACCGAAGGCGACTAAGAGAATTCTGCTATAGCACCACTAAGTCTGTTAAGGGATGAATAAATAACATCTCTTTTCATCAAGAAGTGCCAAATCGTACCGGGACTTTTACCTAGTACAGATACATCACCTGGCAGGCCATGATAGGTGAGAGGCTGTCCATTTCGTCCACCAACACCAAGTTTCGTAGCGGCCTCGGTGCGAAAAAGAAAGTATCACCTTCTTCCAGTGGCATGGCGGAACTAAATTCAGGCTCGTCGTCGTCATCGCCGAGATGAGCTATTTGATACAAATAACTGAAAACAAAGACGACGATAATTATTGATCGCTAAATAATCCTTTGAAGGAGGAATCTTAGGGGCATTTCGAGATTTCCAAAAATTTCCCATTTCTTAGAATATTGATGCTTCTCGTAGAACATAAAAAACCAAATTTCTTATACGCCAAATGTCGATTTTGGTGAAAATACTACAATATGTCGAGAGTAAAGAATTCGTAGAAAATCTCGAAACTTGCCCGGTTTCCCCCGTACATTTTAATACGGGATACAAGATGGTACTAACTGGTTTCCGAATTCCGAGGCGACAAATAAGAATCCTGTTTTCAGAACGCACATGCTCGCCGCCACGGGCACGGTATCGAAGTATTTCAGTTTGATCTCTGTTACCATGTCGTCGTCGGTTTCGAGCGTGATTTTGAAGATATCTCCTTGCTCGGTCTGCGCGAGGAAGAAGAACATGCTCTTTGTCTTGTGTGTGGCCGAACAGACGAATATCATGCCTCTCTCCGGATCATCCAGATCATTTCGTCGTCGCGGAATCGGACAACGGATGTCGTGTTGATCGCCTAGGTTCTTATAGGTGAGATAGTTTTCGGAGCAAATGAGTACTCCACTAGGACCGTCATTGCCGCCGGGCACCGACACGAGGAAATTCGCGTGTTCCTCGAGCGGTTCGCTGTACTTTCGCACCACGTGATTCAAGCCGAGGTCCAGCTCGTACAGTGTCAGTGTCTGCTGCGTCTTCACCGCCGCATCTCCAGTGGGATCGCTGTCGGCTTCCTGCAATTAGCAATTGATATCTTTACACAAGGATACATGGAATATGTACATACTTTGATGCAATAAAAATATATTGTATTACAAGTACCATCATTAATGTAAAGACTTAATCAATGTTAATCAGTTGAAACACGGAACAATTATGATAATCACATGGTACGTGATAACAATAAAATTTCTGTTACCAGAGAATCGCATGAACTCACTTCGTAATCAATTTCCAGGCATGCAAACATAGGGTTCTCAAAGCCAACATCCACACCGACCGTATGGTAAACCAGTGTATTGCTTTTGTGTGCTTCCAGTGGTGAGGAGATCGTCAGACGTGCCTCGGCATCTCTGTTGAGGATGTACACGAGTTTCTGCTTCTCGATGGCACCTGTAATAGTCGAGGTGGCAAATAAAATACCTAACATCTGAATTGAGACAATTGTAATTTTTTGATACGTCAACGACGTACCATCATTATTGATAAGGAGTGTAATCAATGTTAATCAGATGAAACACGGATACAATAATATAATCACATGGCGCACAATAAATTATATTTGTTACTTAAAACAAAATAAGACATTAAATATAGTAAAAACGCGTAATACCTATCATAACTGCTCTGCCCTTAGGATCAATCGCCAGATATTGGCCGGGTACAATACGCCTACATCCGCTCTTTCCGAAAGTTTCCTGATGTACTTTCTCGAAGATATTCTTGGCGGGTATATATTCGAGAATCACTATACGACCAGAGTCAGAACCAACGACAATGTAATCTTTAGTTCCACCGGTTAGCCTGAACGCCATTAAGGACCTCACAATGCCGAAAACTTCAACGGTCAATAGGGTGTGCACTTTGCCTGTATTCGGATCCGGTCTTAGCAGCTCTAGCGATTTGCCGCGCGAGACCAGGATCTCCTGCATTTTGCTGCCCGAGAAGTTGCCATGCACGGCATGCGTGATGCCCGTGGCACGTTGAAGGGTCAAGTTATATAGATACATCTTAGCTTCGCTCTGTTTCGTCTTGATATCTCAAGCAACAAGCGGATTATTTGGCTTTACGTTCTCGATAAGGATCTTCGAGCGTCCATGCTGCAATGAGAAAGTCCCGAATAAGAGCAGGACACCATTTACAGTCCGGGATCGGGTTTCTAACCGGAGCTCCTACGCCTTGACCAAAAATCTGTTTCCTTTCTCGTGATCGTTTCACGTGATATAATCTTCTCCCGTCCACTCTGTCGAGATATATTCGCGTAAGATAATTGAATACGTTCGACGTCATTTGTCGAAACGCTCTCGTTACGCTCGACAGAAACGGTCAAATGGAAAACCAACGGGGAAATACTAAAGTGGAGGAATGATGGGAACTTCTCTTACCTCGGCCAGTTGTTCAACGTGACGATGCTCGACGATGCTTCCAGATTCCTATCGCCGTGAAAGGGATACAGAGCGAACTCGCCGAAATTATCGTCGCAAGAGGAGGCTCAGTTCCTCGCACATGCGCAGAAGTGCCACGGCAATCCACCGGAAACGATGTACGTACGCCGGCATGCACGCCATCTTATGTGCTCACGTCATACGTCACATCCGGTGCGCGCGGAAATCTCCGTACTTTCCGGCTACACTGCGAACACAAAGTGCAGATAAGGACATTTCACGGGAGATCCGTCAGAGGCGCTGCGTCGTTGAGCTGCCATCACGTCCGAATTGAAACGCGCATTCCGTGACAAGAACTTTGACGCCATATTCAAATTTATTTCCACACGTAAGCTGCCCTCGATTCCATCTTGTAAAATTTCCCCGCGATAATCCTGGAAGACAGATGAATGTGCAGTTGAGACGATGACTGAAAAGGTTAACTTTTAAAATATTGCTTTCGTTGTATCTTAAATATCGTAAAGATGTCGCGAGGTTCAAGTCAAGCTTATTCAGAACGTTCCTCTTGGACGTCCTGGTCACAATCGGCATGATGTCGGGACATCTTAGCTTATCTGGAATATCACCTTGTAAGTCTAGGGATCTGCATTTCAAGTCATAACAGGATTTATGTGAATTTTTGCAATTAGTATAAAGGCTCGGCTATCTCGGACAGCCAGATTAGTTTTGCGACATCATGAGCGAGAAATGGGCATTTAGGGAGCGCGCTATTGCGTTATTCTATCTTATCACTCATTAGACTTAAAAATAATAGAATGATGTAATAATACTGATAGAGCGCTTCCTGAATGCAATCATGATTAGTTTTCCCTGAAAAAAGTAATAGTTCCGTAATTTTGAAATCTGTAAAATGTATAGCTGTGACGTCATAAACCAATATGGCTGCCGAGAGATAGCCGAGCTTAATTTAAAGTTTTATATCGTAGACAGTATGAAACATAAAACCGGAATATAAGATGTCTTTAAGACATCTTTAAGATATTTTAAAGTCATTTTTAAATGAAATGTCTATAAGATGTCTTTAAGATATCTTAAAGGCATCTTATGTCTCAGTTTTAGATTTTGCGCTGTCTGTGATTTTAAGTTCGTTTCTCCGATAAAAAAAGTCATCCGTTTGCTGGCTAGCGCGAAATTTGAAGTTTGCGCAACCGCTTCGAGATGGAATTAATTTCCGAAAAGTCTCGAATCTATACATTTAAAAACTGGATATTCCACGCGACGAAAGCTGAAGGAAAAACCTGTTAATATGTATAATTCGCATTTTAAATAAAAATATAAACTTATGAGATGGAAGGCAAATTTTTTTTTCCAATCGGCGGCCGAAGCGGTGAGAGAGTTTTTCTCCGGTGAAAACTGCGTGAGGTTGTTGGATCGAAAGATTCTTCTGCAAAATCATTCGAGAGAACGCGATATGATGGCTACTCAGACAACACAATGTCTGAAATTGAAGCATAGGATGTCTTTCAGACGTTGGAACACAAAATGTCTTAATGCAATCTTTAAGACATTTTATATTCCGAATTTTCTGGATAGCATGTTATCGATTTTATTACGTCATCCTATCCTTATCTTGCGTTTAACGAGCGATAAAGGTAGAGTGACAAAATAAATGGAAAAAAAGCGCTGATAGCGCGCTTCTTAAAGGAAGTTGGGAAGTCATACGAAATTCGCTGAGTCTCGTTGCTTTATTATTTGCTCCACATAACTTCCTGTTGATATGTGTACTTACAAATTAAGCTGATAAGTTTAATATTTTCCGACCTTCTCGGGCAAATAAATACAATTCTACCGTTATCGAATTCCCCGAATATTCTTGATATGCGGAGCAAAGCAGTGGAGCGTGGTTATAAAGCAACAAGTGTTTATCTTGTCTATCATTCTTCAGAAACAAGCTTTGAGATCTCAGTTAACGTATCTTCCAACGATTTGTCGGCCGGTTCGAAGTAACGTTAGCACAGTGAAAAGTGAAACATGAACGATACAACGAATATCATCGTCGACTGCGACGCTGGCATTGACGACGCTTTGGCACTGTTCCTTCTTCTGATCGCTCACAAACACGAGAGGTTGCACATTGAGGCGGTGACCTGCGTTTTCGGGAACACCGTCGTCAAGAATGTCGTAAATAATGTGTACAGAGTGCTCGAACTGTTCGAAGACTACGATGTAAGTTATATTATTGTGACAAATGGATCACTTCGTCTTATACCTTCGTAGAATAAGCTGGAAGAAGAACGTGAGGTATAACGAAAGCTGTTGCTTTAGATACCTGTTCATCGAGGAGCCCACTCCCCCCTGAATAGTAATAAATACTCACCAGGAGAACATGAGTGTTATCACGGGGTGGACGGATTTGGCGATGTGTACACGAACGAACCGGATACCAGTAAAATGCAAACGACTCATGCTGCGTACGCTCTGAACAAATATATCACTGATAAGCCTGGTATAATACAACCTTTCTCTCTTATCATAGTTATGTCATATGGAGTTACATTGTACATACTAACTTGATTCTTCTTAATTTAAGGTCTCGTAAGCTTGGTTTGCCTGGGGCCCCTGACAAACATCGCATTGGCCATAAAGCTGTATCCAGATTTCGCGTGCAGCTTAAAGAACCTCTTCGTAATGGGCGGAAACTCAACCGGTGACGATTATTACTTCTGTTAATTAAATCAGTCGAAATTGTTCGTCGACACTCTGTCTTACGAATGTGCTTCTAGGCTTAGGTAATGTCACGTCCCAAGCGGAATTTAATTTCTTCTGCGACCCGGAGAGCGCGTCCATCGTGTTCAACAACGTCTGCAAGCCCATCTACCTGTTACCGTGGGAGACCTGCTTGAAGTCTCGTATAACATACGTGCGTGATAACTTGACTTGTAATATTGTAGAAAAAATGTTGCGTAATTATTGTCTCATCGGTACGATGATCGATCGTCGATTAATCCTCACGAATCAATAATTGTCGCATCGCCAGATTTTACGACTGCGATCAATTTTTCAGGACTGGCGCAAGAACATATTGGGGACCATAGACTCGTCTTTCGTGCAAATGTTGAACAAAACCGAAGACGGCTGTGAATGCAGAAGGAAAGGGAAGAGTCCGCCGTATTACGTAATGTGCGACGCGATCTTAGCTGGGATTATTCTGCGACCAGAAATGGCCAGGAACATTTTCACGCGTTTCGTAGACGTCGAGTTGCACGGCACCAAGACTCGGGGCCAAGTTGTCATCGATCATCTGAAAAAACAGGAGATAAACGTACATTTGATAGATGACTTCGACTCGGAAATCTTTAAGGAACTGTTACTTTTTGCAGTAAATCCGCGGGAGGACAAGTCGGTCCTGTTTCCACAGAGTCCCGAAGAAACTTCGTCTGAAAATTTAGTCAAGGATGAGTGTAAAGAATTGTAATTGATTAAATGAAAGACTTGATGATTGTAAAAGAACGAAATACATCGTAAATTCAATATTTAATTCAATCAACATTCAATCAACATTCAATCAACATTCAATCATCATTCAATCAACATTCAATCAATATTTTTCATATATAATGCGTGTCTAATTTCTAGTTTATAAAACCTGCTGTTTGTATAAAAACGTTTTTTTTTTATTTTTTTCATTATAAATTGCCACAAAATAAATAAGTACTTTTAAATATAAGTTTCTGTAATAACTGTATCATTTTTAATTAAATAAATCGTTAGTGTCGCGACAATAAAATTGTATAATATTTTAGAGAGCGCATTAATCATGTAATATCATTGATTGCATGACGATACGATATTTTATCAACAATTGAACGAGTTTTATAATTTTATCGTTAGAAAAGATACTTTCGTGTAACATAAATTTCAATATTTTCTTGTAACAGAAGCGATTGTTACAAAGGAAAGGAGAAAGAGAAAGGAGATAAATCAGACCTGGGTGGAGGCGGACAGAGAAACATGTGCGCGAGACTCGAGGATTTACCTTTGAGATTGCAAGATTGAGGAGAACAACATGGACCTAATGGCTTTGGTGCCCGAATTCAAGGCGGTGCCGGGCGCTCGTGTACGCGGTTATTCCTTAGGGTGTTATATAGAAATCATTGCTGGATAAATATAACGGAATAAAAAAAGTATATTTTTTCTTATTACATATAAGAAAAAATATTGCTCGTACAAAGTGAACATTACTCGCGTCTTTCGTCCGAAAAAGCTTTTTCCGCTTAACAACGCTCAATCATTCATGCAGCATTCACCGCGCGTGGAACACGTCTGCAAGATGCCGAAAGAGGAGGACCCGCTGACGACGTTGATCCCCGGCACCTCCGTCTGGTCGAGACTGCGACGTTGGTTCCTGCGCACGCGGATAGTGTCCCGCAGACATCCGTTCACGCGATGGTGCGTGAAGAGCAACAAGGCGTTCCGTTACGATATCAGTCGGCACATCGAGTCGTATCCCTACATGATCCATCCCTTCAGTTCGTTCAGGTCGGCACCTGCAGAAAGGGTAACGCTGAATTATAGAAGAGATTCACGACGAAAACAATTTAGTCCTTCCACCGTTGTTGAGGCGAAATTAAATTGCTCAAATTCGTGCATGTAGAATAATGTGGGAGACCGCGATGACGGTGTTCATCATAGCAGCCCTGATAGTCACGCCGATCCTCTTTACGTTCTTTGTGAATCACGAGAAGTGGCACATCAATCACGCGATAAACGCGGTGCTCGTGTGCGACATCGTGTTGTGGTTTCTCACCGGTTATTATGATCATCAAACGCAGTCCATAATCTTAGACTCGAGAATCGTAGCGAGGTATGCAAAAGTAGCCCGTAAAGCCGGTTGTAAGTAATCGTCGGGATCGATTATTGCGAGCAGAACTTACGATTCGTACCCTTGAGAAAATAGATATTATATTATGAAACTTTCTATGGTACTCTGTGATCAATGAACGTTATGTTATAAAGCTTTTCCTTCTATGAAACGACTCTCTCTCTCTCTCTCTCTCTCTCAAGCTATTTCAAATTTAAAGCTGTAAAATACTGAAAAAATACCTAAAACATAAAAAAATATTTATTCAGTTGATACTAAGAACATATTTACTTTTATATTTTTTCGTACCGAAAAGAATTAAAAATGAGAAAATATATTTCTAAATCTGTAGTTTTTCATGAAAGCAATTGTTTATTCTATTTAAATAAAAAAATGTTTAATATATTAGTATTCATCAAATTAATGCTTTTCGCTTTATATTTTTTTTCTCAGTGTATAGAAATCTTTATTTTTCTTTCAACTTGAAAATATGAATATTAGACGATATGAAAAGAATAAGCTTTTCCGCTCAAAACTCGACGCGAACGATTCGCAGCAAGTACCTACGGGGATTCTTCGTCCTGAATGTGTTACCGGTGCTACCGTTGGAGTTCCTCGCCACGGCTCGCGAGCCGATATGGTTCCTGAAGTCGGTCAACCTACTGAAGATAGTGTGGATGCGAAACCTGTTAATTTATTCCCGCAGGCTCTACTACGTGCGTTCGCGCGTTCTCTTTACTCTTTTACGCGGAGAATCGATCGATTAACTAACTAATTGACGAATTGCAGGTGTACAGAATCAATTTTCACCTGTATAAAATCGCGGAGATGGGTGTTATTATGGTCATTTACGTGCACTGGGTCGCCTGCCTCGAATATTACATACCGTTGATCGTGGCTAAAGTGGCCGGGCCGGATGACGAGTCAGTAAATTGATGAAAGGCACCAGCGAATCAGCTAAGGGAATGACGGTAACGAGGGGGACGTCGCAATTGCAGGTCGTGGATTCGCTCGGCCTACATGCTGAAGAGGGAGACCAGATTCCAGATCTACCTGGCGTGTCTGCACAGAGCTCTTATCGCGCTGGCCGCCTCCGCTCATTACTTGAACATGCAAACGACCGAGGACATAGTGTACAATTTGATTCTCACCATCCTCGGTTTCTTCGCCTTCATCTATCTGTTGGGTAAACGAGTAAACACTTCGCGACAACACTTAATATAATATAATTTGAATACATTATAATGCCGGTCGAATCGATATCTAATCTCTTTCCTTTGTCTCTCATCGCAGCGCGCTTCTTGCAATTAATGACGACGTTTCATTCCACCAACAAGAGGCACTTGAAGTTGATTCAACAGCTGCAGCAGTACATGAGGCACAAGGAACTTCCGTATTTCCTGCAACGGCGACTGCTGGCTTATTACAACTACCGTAACCAAAAGGGGCTCGAGAGGGACAAGCAGATCATGAGATATGTGTCGCCTTATTTGCGAGAGGTGCGCTTTTATACGCGCTTTTATTCCGGATAAGCCAGTGTGTGCGCGAGAACACAGAACAAATATCGTGTAAATATCGCACCGTTTCATCCTCGACGGTTTCAGAAGCTCCTTCTGCACAACTACATGAGCCTGCTGAAGAATGTAGAGCTGTTCAGACACCTGCCGCAAACAATAGTGACGCAATTGGCCGACGCACTGCATTCGGAGATCTTTATTACGAATGACGTGTTGATCAAGGCCGGCACACGCGGCGACGCGTTATATATTGTCGCCTCCGGCACTGTGGCCGTTTTTAACAATGTAGGAAAGGAGGTAAAAGATCAGCGATACTTCCTCGTCGGAGTTACCCATCGTGACTAATCGTATCGTCGAGTAGTTGGTTGTTTACTAAAATATTACTTGCCGTGTTCTCGTAAGAAATTGAAATCGAATTGAAGTAGATTGAAAGCCGAATCTAAAGCACGGTTGGGAAATAACCCCCCCCCCCCGCGGGTTTCTCGAACCCGTTGAAATAATCGCTGAACGTCCCGTGACGTGCGCAGATCTGCCACTTGGAGGACGGCGCGTACTTCGGCGAGATTGCGTTGGTGATGGAGGATGAGTGGAGGATCGCCAGCGTCGTCGCTGTGGAGAACTGCGAGGTCCACGTCCTATCGCGTGTCAACTTCCAACGCGTCTTGGCGCCGTATCCCGATCTGCTAACTCATCTGCAAAACGTCGCGCTCGCGTTTCTAGAACAGTTGCTGTCACTCGAAGAGGCGGGCGAGCTGGATTTCTCGACATTGGCATCCGTCAAGATCAACATCAGCAGCATAAAGACTAGGAGGAGGGACTGAGACATGGTAAGGTAGCCCGTCCCGACGACTCGGTGAGATTTCTTCCAATTTTATTCTGCGTTTTATTCAATCGTTTTTCTAATACTCTTTCTTTTTAGCCTTAATTTGTATTCAAGATTTTATTACGTTACTGAACTTTTAAGTTTGTGTTATTTCTAATGATATGAGCTACCTTTTCCTGCAATCTCTGCTTCCAAATGTTAAAATTTGATTGTATATATCGGTCATGGAAAATTTTCCACTTTTGTCTGGAAAACATGGAAGACTCAGGAAATGTCAAAATTAACTTTCTGTGACAATCTTGAAAAAGCTCTGCCGATAGTCGATTAACAAAACTCTGAGGAAAGCCAAGATAATTAAAAATATGAAAAAAGTCTCGTCGGTCGCACGTATTCTTCACCTTTTATTCGTCCTGTAAATATTTCATTATATATCTTTCTCATATTATTTAACTATTAACTATAACGATATTTTCACGCTCCATTTGCTTCAATAGAGCGAATAGTGCGTCGGATTATCCATATATTTAACAATCGAGACAACGGAACGTTCAACCGAATAGTCACACTCAACGCAAAAGCAACGAATCAACAGCTAACAACGATAATAAACCGACGATAATATCCCGTTCGACCTTCGGCCCTGTTTCTCGCTAATCGCATGCTGTAATGTAATAATTATCATTGCAACTAATTTCGGAAAATCTCGACGTCTCTCTCTCTCTCGCGTCTATCTCCGTTTTCGATTAGATAAATCGAATGAAATTTCGCTTTCCGCCTCTCTCGCCTCTGCGTTTATCTGCGTCGCCGCTTTGTCCTCGGCGGAAGTGGCTCGCGTCAGAAGTGGTGGGCCCGCCGTCTCTGCGGGTTCCTGTAGGACTGTTGGTACACGGACATGAGACGCCAGTGTTCCGGATAGTCGGCGTCCCGGCAGCCGTGGACCACGCTGAACGGCGGCGCCAGGGTGTCGATGCAGAAGGCCCTCCGGGCGAACGGCGTCCGCGGCCTCGGTACCGTCAGCTTAGCCGGAGGCAGTCCGTTCCTGCGGACATCGTCGTGTTTCTCCTCGCGAGTCCCGAGCGCGATTCCTACAGCGGACCGGATCAGTCGCGGGTCCCGTCGCCTCTTCTCCAGCTCGCCGTCCGGCTCGCAGGCGGCGCACCTGCGCTCGGTGATCTGCGGCACGGAGCTCGCCCTCGCCGGCTTCCCGCCCCGCGACACCTCCGCGATCTCCGCCACCGTGACCGTCTCCATGCCGTCGCAGAGACACTCGCAGCAGCATCGATTCCCCGAGTCCGCCTCTCGCTTCTTCTTCTTCTTCTTACCTGTAGTTGGAGAAACCGGCTCTTTAATCGCTTGAAGAAAGAGAAAAAAACGGGTTTTTGTGAAAAATTGCTTTCTTTACTGCTTAAATCTAGATTAATTTTTGCACATTGGTGCGTCGATGGATCTGCAAAATACAACGAAATTTTGCACAAAATTTTTCTTGCGGTAATCGATTTCAATGGTGATTCTACGGGCAAAAGTATCAAGATGAGATTGTCGGAAAGGGAACAATTTACGAGATACTTCATGTCTCGTGCTGAAAAACACGCAGGCAAATGTGGCGAGTTTTAACCGAACGCACGTGAATGTTTCTAAACCAATTTTCCACCCTTAGATAAAATAAACAAAAAATATCCGCGGAAAAACTGAGAAAATCCGGCTTTTTTCGGGAGCCTCGAGAACTGCATTCCCCACCCGCGCAATCGTAGACGCCTTTTTTATCTTCTTGACCGTGCTCCAGTAGCTCGCGATTTCTCGGTGCCGGTGAGTGCTGGATCAGAGCGAAGATCGCCGGCGCCGAGCCGCCCTCGGAGCCGTCGATGTGCGCCGGCTTGCGGGGTTCGTACACGGGGTCGACGGGCGTCTCCCAGCAGATGGCCAAGTCCATGCGGGTCTCGGGCTGCTTGTAGCCGAGCGCCGGATCGGCGAAACAGCGGTCTCGCCTCGCGACCCGGACGTTCCCTCGGCTCCTCGCGGGCTCGCAGGCGGCCGAGCGGCAACCGTGCGCCGTCAGGTTCCTGAACACGCGGTCGTCCACCTTGTCCGGGAGCGGCTGGTGCTGCAGGTTCTCCGCGTGCAGCCTCTTCGCCAGAGCAAACTTGTCATAGCACGAATTGCCACCTCCCGCACCCTCCTCTTCCCTCCGCTCGTCTTCGTCGTCAGACCTTCTTCGAGACTTCGGGCAGGCCAACGCGTGCGACTTCCTCGGACGCGTCTTTCTCGAGGAACCCGCGGAGCTGCGGCCGCCGCACCGACAGCATCCGCGAGGCTCGTCTCCAGCAATCGATTCGCCGCGGCGCGACTCCATGCTACTCGTCGTCTTTTTCTTGGCTACGCGAGGATTACGTTCACCCATAGGGAGAATCGGACGTGGGGAGGACTCGTCGAGTCGCGGCGGTCGACCCAGCCAGCGAGTTCTTTGTTAACTTTCAATGCTTCTTGTTGAGCGCATCCTTTGAGCGACGATTTTCTTCCTCCTCTTCCTCTTCAGCGCGTAATGAAGTAAATTATTCCGAGATTACTCGTCCCTCCTCGAGTCTTCCATTGAGAACTCCTTCTCTCCCATTCCTCTTCTCGCTCGTTACGTCTGTGTCATCGTCCCTCTGCCGAGATGAGATCGCTCGTTCGCGGCACTTGATCATCTCTCCCCGGTCACCTGTGGAACGGACACATTTACACGGCGCGATTAATTAAATTACTGAGCTAATTTTGATCGGGAAGAGATTCGGGGAGAGAGAGAGAGCGAGAGAGAGGGAAAGAGAGAGAGAGAACGGATTCCCCTCGCGTTTCCCCGACGGGGCCCGCCGGCCGTTCAAGCGTTCTTCCTCATCTTCGAACACTGTCGGCGAACACCCAAGCACATTTCTATAGGAATACCGAGAACCTCAGTGGCGGAATTCGATGGCTCTCGGTTGCCCTGACGACATGATAATTCGATAGGGAGTCCGCTATACTCATTACATGGCTCACGGACGAAACGGGAGTTCGCAGACGACACATGCGAACGTCCGGACAGCACAAAGGACTGAAATAGATCTCGGAGACGTCTCTAAGTTTGGAAATCCGTGGTCTACAATCCGAAGGTTTCAGCAGAACGGCTGACTTATCGATCCGAAGCAATTCGAAGTTCTTCTCATACTTCGCAGCGCTGCCATCCAGTCACCTAAGTCACTTTTTTTTCTGGAGGACCCCAGGATTCTATATTTACGATAACAAACTATTGTTAAGTAAAGAAATTAATATATTCACACGTAGAGATACAAATAAGTATATTTTGTGTTGCTGAATAATTATGAATAAAATTTGTTTACGATTGGTGTAAGAATTCAGAAGCGTTCTCTCTTTTTATTGTTACAAAGAATCAATTTGTGGGTGCGACTTTTGGCTTTATATTCGATTTTCGAAAGTGGTGATAGTTTGGGAGTACTTTTAGCAGAAAGTCCAACTGTCCAATCTGTGGCTAAAACATTCGAAAGGCATATTAATCGTTTATCCTAAAATCAAGGATAAAAAATAATACGATAAATATATTTACATATGGTTTGTCATTCATTTCTCTACGTTGACATTCGCTTCCATATACTATTGTATTTTCTGGTATACTTTCTGTTTCCGTCAAAGAACATGCAGCCCCAATAACGCAACCATTGGTCAACTCGACTTCGCGAGCAACATGTGCTTGAAAGAAAAGATTATATTTATATCGAATAGCATCAAGCCGCAATCAACTATACATACCTTTTATCTCTAAAATATTGTTATCTAATTATACATACCTTTGATCTCTAAAATATTGTTATCACCAACTTTAAATGCTTCACAAGTACAATCAGTTTCAAAGACATTATAGTTCCCTATTATTTGCACTGGTACTGTTGTAGGTTCAGGAACATCGGGTGGCAATCTATACATATTGGTGATAAATTAGTTGTTGCGTCATTTGCTCATGGTGAAAGATATGAATATATCACACTTGCCTATTGGCTATAGTTGCCATTTCTTCAATTATGTTGCCTTCTCCGATAATGATCGGACCAGCTTCTGCTAGAATGCATGCTCTAGGATGGATTATGGTCTTCGCACCAATGGTGATATCACCTTTCAGAATACTCTCCTCACATACTACTGCGCCAGGTGCAATTTTTAAGCTGTAAAAATTAATTATAAACATATGATACAATTCATTCATACAAGATCACATTAAGATCACTAACTATAATAACATATAGCTGCTGTATACTACTGGTGTACATCAAGGTGAGTTTAGTAAAATATTTCACTTAAATACTACACTTAACTTTTATTCATTATCGTAACTGTTTCAGTTATGGTCCTTACATGAAAAGATATCGAATTATCCGTTTTATTGATTATTACTATAATGATATTATTTATATATCATGCATTGTTATAAATATATGTTATTAGTTTAAGAAAAACCTTAAGATAACCTTATAACGTAGAATATCTATATTAGTTTAGGAAAGACCTCAAGATAACCTTATAACGTAGAATATCTGTCGTCGTAAGATGAGAACGAGGTTTTATATGTTAAAATTTAAGAACACTGTCGATCAAAATATATAATTATATTTTTTACAACTATTATTAAACTTACTTAGCACGACGATAGGTAGAAGAATTAGACGACATTTTCTCGTATATTTATGCTAGCTTATGAGCTCTCATATGCCACTTTACAGTTTTCCGCTTCGCTTCTTTCGATATGTGGCTCCAGCTATCCGCGTAGCCCGGCAACAGTTCTGTACTGCAGCTGCGATGGTATTATATCGCATGATATCGATATATCGAAATATTCAACATCTCTCGATAATATTTAAAGAAAGATCAGTTTCAAGTGTTTTTATTATTAAAAGAGCGATTATACTTTATCTTGTTGTTGCTTTCAAGATACACACACCATACACACACACATACAACAAAATATATCGTAATAATTTATAATTATCTTTAAATTGCCATCAGAATGAAAAAAAAGACTGCTTCGCACGTTGGTATTATAAAAAAATTGATTTTTCAAGATTTATAAAGCTGAAATAAAATGAGAAAAAAATTTCTGTTCTACATACATCCCACTTAAAATCAGTATTTAAGTATCATATTATAATTTCTATATAAACATCTTTCAATCAAATATTATGAATCAGTTCAATTATCATTCTAATTATTCTTTAAATGTTAAACGCGAGAAATAATCATTGAAGTAAATTAAAAATAATTCTTGAAATGTTTTTCCGTCGATTAATATGAACGAGGAAAGCATTTGAGCGATATATATTATAAATAACTTTTAATATAGCGGGCTAAATATTTTTTGTTTCTACATGTTAAATCTTCTTTGTCGAAAACAGATTATATATGAGAACGTACGAGAAGAGAATATAAGTATAATTAAAATAGCTACATGACAAGACAATAAAAGAAAAAAAATTGAAACAATTTACAGCGAGAACCTTTATGATGCGCAAATACCTTCCTTTTTTTTGTTTTAAGCTAATTTAAAGACGTAAGAGAAAGGAAATTTTTCGATTGCCTGCGCAATCAAGGGAATAATGTGTACATACATGAGAAACACACAAGCCACACCTTCGTTTAGATATTTAATATAACTCTATATTTATCCGTCAACTTTTATTTATTTTATATATATATATTTTTTATATATTATATATTATAAAATTTAACTCCAAATTGCGATAATAACGTCTAATTGCAACGTGCGTGCGCGTGTACGTGTTGCGCCTTATTGTACGTGTGTACGGGTACGTGTGTATGTGTAGTGTATCTTCGTGTATGTGTATGCGCCTGTGTAATTAAGTGTGTACGTGTGTGTGTTTGTTGCTCTCGAGTAAAGGGGATAGAGATGTGAGCGAAGAAGGGTCGTAGATGGTATGCATTTTGCACTCGCGCGTAACGTGACTGTGTACGTGTTCGATCTACAGTTAAACGAATCCTACGCACTTACTCGTTAATCGGCAGAATAATATGCATTCTCTTAATTCTTTTTTTTTTCGCTATAAGTATATGCAACCGTCCGAAAGCGTGTCAGTCGGCGCACCGTGACGGATTCACCGTCGCTCTCGTCGATCTTCTCTCTCTCTCTCTCTCTCTCTCTCTCTCTCTCTCGGATGCATATCGAGTCTCTTTATTGTAATAGTATGTCGTGTTGCGCGGAAATAAATTTGCTCTGATCTCAACAATAATGGTAAGAAAAAGAATAAAAATCTCCTCCTTTTGTCGATTAATTTTATTAATGGTAAACGTGCAATCGATTCATCGAGTGTGTTTGCGCTTAATTTTTCAAAGGACCTAAGCGATAATTACTGCCACGTGTCTCGAAGATATTTTAATAATATCTAATTTATTATTACCAAATTTATTATTAAATCCAAATTTAATAATAATATCGATAATAGATCAATACCGCGTTAATTCCAACCGATGGAAAACGTATTTTATGTGAATCGCGTTAATGATTATTGAATAATTTTACACTAAGTTCGAGAAGTCTTATCAATCACCGAAGAATAGCGTAGTCGTAGAGTCGCTGTGATTTTTGAACGAATCCAAAATTTGCGAAAACATCAAAAATTCCATTCGAATCTGTACGAAGAAAATAATCACGTAAGAATGTAACGTAAACATTTTTGAGATCTACAAATTAGTACAAAGCGATTGAAGCTGCCTGTCTTATAATGTCTTGATATATTATTTCCTCTCGTACAAACGAGCTTAATGTGCTGAATAACATCGAACGCAAATCGATTAACGTTATAAATATAAATTTAACAAATAATAAATTAACAACACTATAATTTAGATGCGACCGGAGATGCTAAGAATAAGAATGCGCAATTCTGAAACTGTACACGAAAATCCATTCATCGCCTTAAAATTGACTTCGTATATGCATCCGAGAATTATTTCTCACGGATTATTTCTCAAGAATTATTTCTAATCTTATCTTATTTTAAAAGACGTTCCGTTTCTCGTAACAAGTAAATCACTTTGAAGTCAACAATAAACAAGAAAACAATTATGCCCACTTGACTTAGTTGAGAGTTTTATGGTAATTTGACATCTCAAGTATTAGTACTATTGGTATTTCAGTCAGTTGTTAAAGCACAATGTGCCCTCTCTTCATTCACGCTGCCCTTGCAATGACTTTAGGACTTGTAAGTCCGAAATTTAAGGAGCTTTTATTCGTTTTCTAGCAATTGACACGAGGATAAAAGAGGCAATTAATGACGTAAGAAAAGCTCAAAGATCAAAACACTTGAAAGATCGAAAGCTCGAGTATCTAAAAATTGAACGTAATAATAATTGAAAAATCGAAAAGTCAAAGTTCCAAAAAGTTAACAATCTAAACAAAATAAAAGAGATTAACGCTCAATTTAAAATGTAAAATAAGAGGTATGAATAGACTTAAATATTTAAAAATTATGTTTTAACTCTCAAGTCAATATTTTCCAATTTTCTAGCAAGTTTAACGAACATGAATAACAAAATGTCAACATTCTCTCTCTATTGAGCTAACATATTGTACTGAATAAAAAAATTCAGATATCCTCATGATCGTAACTAAATTATTAGCGTAAAGTTCATGGTAACATTAAGAAGATAAATAATAATCTCATTTTCAAAGTCAATGCATATCTACTTGAGAAATACAAGTTATCGTTCGAGCTGCGTGTTTCGTTGTATGTCTCAACATATTGAATTAGTAATCAATAATCTTAGTATCCGATATCGAAAACATCGAAAATATAAAAACATATAAATGGAGCGGTAAATCGAGATGTAGGGAATCAACGGCAATACATTTGTTAACACTTTCGCGACCGCTGAAATTCGACTGCAAATTTATGCAGCTTCGACACTGGTGTATTTAACCCATTATAAAGATCGCAATCATTATATTTATGCATCACTACATTTTTCTCATAGAGCTATATATATATTATGCTGAACAAAAACATGAATGTGTATCTATTTTCAAAAATAGTTACGATGAACTTCTAGCGATGATGATGATGGCAAATAGTTAAAAATATGCACGGAAAATGTTTCGAAATATTTAGAACAAAAGTTGTTACAGTGAAGAAGCTCGAGTCTCGATGGATGGAACGATAATGGGTTAAATGCGTGATAATTGTCTCGGAAGCCGTTACCCTAAACAGTATAAGCTATTTTACTTACGTATATACAACGTAAATGGGGGCCGACGGACACGGTGTAGCTTATGACAACCAATTGATACACGCATACACGTAAAACAAAAAAATAATAAATGCTCCGAGAGAGCTACGTGTGAAAAAGAAATTAGATTTTATTCATTTATATTAGACTTTATAAATACAAACAAATAATAATAGCGCTGTGTAAGGTTTTCCATAACGTTTTGCAATTAGAAACGGTCTGTCAGACCCCGGTTATACCGTTTAGGGTTTACATAATTAGCTGCGATATTCTGATATACGTCTTAAAAACAAAGGTTCACTATACAATGAAACAATATCGGTATTCGCACGTCATTGCTATAAATAACAATTCAATTGGAAACTCCGCTTCGTTTTTCCCCTCCCCTTTCAGCTCTCCGGCCTCACGTCTCGCATGTTCTCGAAGTCAGACGTGACGTACGAACAGCGCGCCTGCTTCTCGAAGATTTACGAAGAATTCGAACATCGCACGCGCGCGTGCGCGCACAATAAGTTAAGGATGTTTACAGCGAAAGCGCAAAACTGCGCGCAGGTCGCGCGCGATCCCCGTCCTCATTGGTTCCTCGCTCCCTCTAACGATGCGCGACGCGTTATTTATAGCCAATGAGTGTCGGCGTACGAATACACTTTATTTTTAATTCCAGCCCTCTTATAACAATATAACTTTATACTTAGTAACGACACGAAGGCGTACGAATACTTTTTAATCGGCCCGGCACCCAACGACGCAATTCTCATCTAAAAATACGCGGACGGTCGCGAAAGTGTCTCGACGACGACGCACGACGGCGAGCAGAAACCGTAAAAAACTAAAAATCCACCGCGATTTCGCGCCTCGATCCTCGGACTGACGATCGACGACAGCGGAGGAAAGCCGGTGACGGTGCGTATATAAACGCTTCGTGAGGGTGTCTCAGCGCGCGACGACGGGCTATTTTATCTCTCTCTCTCTCTCTTTCTCTCTATTTCTCTCTCTCTCTCTCTCTCTCGCTCGCTCGCACGCTTTCGCTCTCATTCTCTCTCTCTCTCTCTCTCTCTCGCTCGCTCGCTTTCGCTCTCATTCTCTCTTTCTCTCTTTCTCTCTCTCTCTTGCTCGCTTTCGCTCTCTCATTCTCTCTCTCACTTTCTTTTTTTCTTTTTTTTATCCATATAAGAAGTATGGGTTTACGTATAAAGAGACGCGTCATACAAGTGCCGTACAGTACCAAAAACGTTTTTTTTAATGCGCGCGCATAATGCGGTCGATTAGCTCTATCTACGCCTGCATCCGTGAAGTCGCATTCGCGCGTCAATTCATAACGTTTTCCTCCTACTCTCACTTTCATACCCTCTCTTTCTCTCTCTCTCTCTTTCTTTCTCTCATTTTCTTCCACTCCTCTTTTTCACTCTCTTTTATTCCTCTTTCGCGCTCTCTTTCACTCTTTTTCCCTTTCTCTCCCTCTCTCTCTCTCTCTCTCATTCTGTCTGTTTCTGCCTGTGAATGTATGTACGTAATGTATGCATGTACGTATGTATGCATGGATTCGTGAGCTTGGTGTGTTACGTGTTACTCTGTTATATCCGTGAGATCCGGCCGGGCTGGTCCGCGGACGAGATTTCTCTCGTTAACGTGTCTCATCGTGTGCACATAATATAATATCGCGAGGACCGTCGAATCTCGATCGTACCGCCGAAATATACTCTCATATATATAGTGTTTATATATTTATTTATTTATATGTTTATATATTTATTCATTTATTTATTTATATATGTATTTATGCTAAAGTAGCTCAGAGAACTATACTCGAATCACTACTCGAAGTCGCGGCGGCGGGGGAACGCGCGTGGGTGACGCCGCCGACGAAGTCTCGGTAGCGGAGTATCGGCTTCGAGTTTTGCACCGTGCGCCGCGAGGACGCGCGCTTACACGTTGAACATCCGCCCCGCCGGGCTGAGACGACGAATCCACGTTATTGAGCGAACCATTACGCGTGATTAGAGATTAGTGAGAACCGCGCGCAGTGACGGATATTTAACGAACGGGCGCGTCCCTCGCGTCCGCACCGGCCGCACGAGCGGAGAGAGGAAGATCCGATCGTCTCGCGGCTCATATCAGCGACCACAACGATGACGGGTGATGAGGATGCCTTCGTCACTTATTCGTCGTTTACTTATTACCGACCCTCGCGCGCTTTCGGTTTTTAACTTACTTCAGATACTCCGCTTCCGTCGTGTCTCTCTTCTCTTCTCAATTCGCTTAGCTCGTCTCGTCTCGCAGCTCACGAAGCCGCGATTATCGTTGATGTGTTCCTGAAATCCCCGCGTTTCGCTTCAATCGCCGAGCGCTCCTCGTCGGCTCCACACGGCTCCCACACGTGCGGCTGAATCGCGATAAATTCGATCGTCTACGGTCGGTATGTACAAGTGGCGGCGGCAAACGGTCACGAAGAGTAGAAAAGCGGGAAGAACGACCGGAATTCGGCGGCGGTTCGAAAAGGGAGAAAGGTCCGCGACGAGGGCATCCTCGTCATTATCGCCGTCGTCGTCGTCGTCGCGCTCAGCCGCACGACTTCGACATCGACGCGGTTCCTCGCCGTCCGCAATAAGCTCTAACCCTTCGTCGACGCTATTCTCGCAGGGTTCGCCCGCTCTCGTCAACTCCCTCGTGTGTTCGACAGTGCGATAATTATCGGTCACTATGTCGCGCGAGCGGCCCGATCAAGATTCTCTTCCCGCGGTGGGCACGCCAGTCCTCGACCGCGTTATTTATTTTCGCGTCGTCCGCGGACTGTCCTGGCGGGACTCGGTCGATCACCGTTCTCCTCTCGCCCTCTCTTCTCTCCCTCCACTATCTTCGATTTTTTTTTAGTTAATACAATATATACTTTATGTATGTATCGTAACAACCGATCTCTCTCTCTCTCTCTCTCTCTCTGCTTTTTCTCTCTCACTCACTCACTCACTCTCTGTCTCTCTCTCTCTCTCTCTCTCTCTCTCTTTCATACTTTCCGATCTGAACTTTCTCACTCACACACATTCACATACATTCTCTTTCTACGCTTGCTCGCTCGTTCGCTCGCTCGCTCGCTCGCTTCGCACGCATTCGCGGTTTTTCTCCGTCTATATAATAATATCTTATAACGATACGCGTATGTGTACACACTTCTCCGCGTCGGTGGGACGCGTGTTGCGCGCGCGGGCGTGCACGCGTCCGTATGTGTGGGCGTGTGTATGTGTGTGTGTATGTATACGTGTGTATACACATACGCATTCACACTATGTATATATTTATATTTATATTTATATTTCTTCTGTATATACTTTTATGTTGCTTTTCTTTATGTATACTTTATATATAACAATGTTATGTTTATTTAAGGCCCAATACGTTCATTACGAAGGAAATAATCTGCAACAGAAAGGAGACGAACATACGGTTAAACAACGCTTGTACCTGGTTTGCTCCCTGTCGTAAGCACCGTGAATATAGAACTATTCAGTCGACGAGTTGTGTACGTTGTGTTTTCTTGACGTTAATCATCGTCATTATCATTATCATCATCGTCGTCATCGTCGTCATTGTAGTCGTCGTCGTCGTCATCGTAATCATCGTCGTCGTCGTCGTCGTTGTGATGGATGCGCGTGGGGACAATCGCGATACGCCGGACGCCAGTAGATGATCTACGCGTGCGATCGGACAAAGTGATAATTCACCCGCCAACTTGCGGGTGCCAATCTTGCGATCTTATCTTTCTGTCGCGTTTCCTTCAGAGGAAAACTGAGAAGAAGGACAAGCAACGAATAATAACTAAGTAATGTATGTATCTTTATGTAGCTTATATATGTACATATATATCCGCTCATCAGGTATCAGGCTTTACGTTACAGATAGAGTGTATAATTATCCGAAGATTTATCAAAATTTCCACACGACAAATGCACGACGAAGATGCTAATTCGAAACTCGGTGGAAAACGAGTGACGAGACGGGATTGAAATTATGACGTACCGCTACATGCACACTTAACGATAGTTAAACTACTTCTGTTCTCACCGTTTATTAGTAAATTATGCATCGATTATTATGCACTTTCTTCGATTGCGAAGAAAAAAGGAATGCTGCAATTATATTGCCGAAGTTATACTTGACTTTCTCTGGCCGTTAACCGCCCAGAGCGGAGAAATTTTCAGTGAGAAAGGTCAAATTGCGATATTTTCGCTGTATAAATTTCCAAAAACGTGACTGTGCCTACGATCGGCGAGACCATGTACCGGCGTTCTAGTCAGCTCGATGTGTTTTTGTCTTCGCGTCATTCTCTATTACCCCGTATTATTTTCCCTGCTCCCCTAGATACACATGAAGCGTGCTCGCGACGTTTCCTAGGAAGAATCACTCGACCGAGAACGGGCAAGCAATAAGGTTGTCTCTCGAAAAAGAGGCGTCACTCGATATTTTTATCTAAGACAGTCTATCGTGACGTATACTTGAGAGCCTACCGGACATGTAATTCGACTGAAAGGCCAAACATTCCGATCCGAAAGGATGACGCGCTAATTTGTTCAACAACTAGATCCTCGTGTAATACAACAATATAGGTGTAGCAAGCTAGATGTTTAATATAATTTCATTATGCGTTGGCGAGCGAGAAATACAGAAATGTCCCAAAAAGGTGTAACAATGGCAAAGATCATCCGAAGAATCTCGGGTTTCCTCTCGAAACATTTGTAATTATCGAAAATTTATCTTTTATTTTAATTTAAATTTTGTTACAATAAAATATATAGTAAGAAAGTTTTGTATTGCAAACGGTCCATTAAAATTTTTGCATTACTCCAGCACTAAAAATATATTAAAAGTTCATAAATAAATATGTTAAATTAACAAATCGTTAACATATTACTTTTTAACATATTCACCTTGTTAAAGTAATAAAAATTAGGTGGACCGTTTGTAACACAAAATTTTTTATTGAATGTACACGAATAAATTAAATAAGAAATAAGATTTCATTATTTCTATTTATAGATTTTATGTACAGGCGCAGATTAATAAGATTTGAATATTTAAAAAATTAAATACAAAAAATTAAATAAAAATTTTGTCAAGAGTTAAAGTCAATTAAATAAAATAAAATTCGTCTCATTAAGACGCGTAAGTTCGTGTTAAAAATAATTTTTTAACGTATGAGTTTGAAAAGATCCTGCCACCGATATTTATCTTTTTAGAACATCTTGTGATTTAAGATCCAATTATCGACGATAAATTTCCACTCGTGTCGACATCAGAAACAAACATGCGTATCCATGCGAATTATCGGCTACAACCTTTACGCTCATTACAAACGAGACGCACCTTACGATACACTTAGACGCCTATGGAGAGCCTAGTGTTTAAATTTAAAATAAAGGGGAAAGTATTATTAATGAGATTAACAACGAAAAAAAACAACAAATAAGTTAATGTGCTTTACAATATACACTCGATAGCGAAATCAAATAAACCGCATACGTTATCCGGTAGGCTGATTGTTCGAAATACGAGCCACCCGATTCACAGCAACCGCGAATAAATGGGAATCGAAGAGTGGGAATCGGATTTTTGGATTAAAAAAGTTCCTACTCCATATAAAATATCGTAGTTAGCGAATAACTCCTCTTCAACGTTTCGGGGAGATTGATAGAGTAGATTAGTATAGAATTGATAAAAATATCAGAAAGAGCTCTCTGTGAACGATTTTTTTTTATTAAAACTTCGATTCGCTCTCCCATTTGAAATCCCACTCATTCACCGTTACTGTAGTTCGATTTCTCGTTCAAGACGTCCATTGGCGATATTGATCCTTCGACATAAAATACTCGTTAATTTAAAAAATTTCAAAAATATAATGTTTGCGCAGTAAAGATCCGATTAAAAAAAGAAGAAAGGAAAAAAGGAATTTGACACGTTATAATAGCTATTGCAAATTGTGAAAATCTGCTGGCAAAGGAAAGTCAAATCTTTATCGTCTTTTTGAAGGATCGTAAAATCGAGGACGTTTCCGAAAGAGAAACAGGAGCGATCTGTTTTCGAATTAAAGGTTGTTGGTAACCGTATAAGCAATTTACAAAAATCAATATTTTCTATCTCGCCGCTTTTAACCCTTCCAGCGATGGATTTCACGAGTCCAAATTCGTCTATGATTTTCTTTGCAGCAGTCACCTTGTTAAAATTACTGTTAAATTACGATAATTAATAAATTACAATCGTTAATAGCAAATGAGGTAATTTTTATATCCGATTTTGACCAAATCTCTCTTTATCTCTCGCATTATTTTACTTTTGTAGAGTGCAAGTGTGAAAAGGCAGATATGATCGAGGATCTTTTCCTAACTTCCTTGAAAACAATAACTCTGGCTAGTAATAAATATGTAATTCGTTACATCGTTAAAGGGTTAAAACTGGCGTCTTACCGTTTGTTACGTCGTGTTCGTCGCATGAATCGAATATCATTAAAAAAAACTTGTAAACACGTACACAATCGGGAGTTCACTTATTTTCATTGTTTTTCTTGAGTCTCGCTCAATCCTACTTTCGTGCAGTTTGTGTGTGTGTGTGTGTGTGTGCGCGTGTGTATGTGTGAAAAAATGAAAAAATGTATATACAGTATAAAGATGTAGAACTCCCGAATGTTTAATACGTCGGTACTCGGACATGCGATTTTACAAACGGCGATATCGGACGGCCGATCATTTATTACACCTTGACGGAAGCTGTATTGCCGAATCGAAAATATATCAACCGTTTCTTTACTAGTTAGTGCATCTGGATATGATTATGTATCAAATGTAAATTTGTCTTAATATTTGCGTATCATATATCGTGTATGTTGAGAGAGAGAAATGATTAGAAATACTAATAACCGCAAAAAATTCTCTATGTGTTGTTTTCTGCATTTTGTACTCTCTATGAATCGATCAGAGTGACTTTGATTTTGTTATTCTTTTGTGCTTGCTTATACTGTGCAGCATCTTACACGCGATTTGATTGGAAATTCAATTTTCAGAGAACAAAGAACATACACGTGTCTCAATATTTCCCCGGGCACAACAATTTTCACAACAACGAATTTCTGAAAGACCTCTTAATGTTGTCCAAAGATATCTAAAAAAAAAAAAAAATAGCACGTCTCAGACGTTTTTAAGAAATCTTTTAGAAACTTGTTCTACTTGAGTCAATGAAAGATTCCGTAATTACCACGCCTGTTTAAAAGCTCGACGAGACAGAATACGAAAATATCCTTTACTTACGCGTGAAAAATAGCGCGAATTAAATCCTAGAATCTCCCGATACGCATCAGCCGACATCGTCGTTTCTCGCCTGTCCGAGCTCGAGCCGCTCGATAGAAATGGTCTTAAAAGTACTCGCGTGAAAAGAACCGCGAGTCTCCAATCGTCTCTCCGCGGACTCTCGCGGTCGAACCGGCTGAACGTAAGCGACTGCCGTGATTCGCGCGCTGCCTCTGTCCCGTTGCTGGTAACAACCTCGTCCGATCGCTTCGCGACAAAAGACGCGTGTCTCCGACACGCACACGGTCGATCGATCGATCGATTCGTCGTCGGCCTTCGCTCGCTCGCCCCCTTCGTCATCGAGATCGTTCTCGCCTGCGAGCTCGCCGGCTCGCGCGGATTCTTCCTAGGAAGCGTCGCGCCACCTTTCCGCTTCCCCGGGCCACGAAATCCATCGGTATTTCTTTCTTTCTTTCTGTTTCTGTCTCTCTTCCGGGACGGTCGGACTCACCTTGACCGAGCAAGGTCCGCGACGCTACTCGCGTTCCTGTCCGCTCGGCAGCGCCGGAACGACGCTCCGCGCCGCGTCGCTCGTTCAGCTGTCGACGCTGAAGAGCTCCTTGTGGAGGGCCGGGAACTCGAGAAGCGGTTGCGACCGCTTAAACTTCGCCAGCGCGTCCATGTGCAGCAGCGAGATCTCCCGCAGCTGCGGTATCTTCGCGAGGATCGCGTCGCACACGGTCACGTCGCCCTTGATCGGCGTCACGTGGTTCCGATCGAGCTCCGACCTCAGCGCCCTGATCACCGCTTGCGACAGCCTCGTGATCTCCGCCAGGCCCTTCAGTCCCGGTCGATCTGTGGATTGTTACGCAAGGCGCCGTGTTAAGTCAGTGAACTCATCGCGCGCGTACCGCTTGCGTAACCGCAGGGGGGAATAGGAATATGAGATAACGATAACTGTTTCGGAGAGATGCGAGATCTCGAACAACAGACGAGTTCAATTTCGAATTTCACTTCGCCGGATATGTGTCTGTTTCATCGCCGAGTTTCGCGCGACTTTGGTAGCGCGAGTATACTGGAAAGATTCCTTCAAATTTCATACATTTTATTGCATCCAAACAAATTTCATCATTGGCATGCTCCAAAGAAAACTAATGTCTTGGTCGTACTAATGATCGTTAATCTCGAGGAATCTATTAAAAGTTATCTTTAATTGAATATCTCAGCTTCCGAATGGTCGTTCATTTTCTAACTTGATAGACGTGTAAATAGTATTTCCATCAACATGTGGCTAAATAATAATAAAAAATAAAAATTGAAAAGAATTCCTAAGAAAATGGCTCGTCCGTGACCAACTACCTTAAGTGCGAGATACAACTGCGCTTCTTGATTATAATTTTAGAAAGTTCTATCCCCCCTCTCCTCGCCAGTGAGGGGATGGGGCACCCCTGTGCGCTCTCGTGTCACTCACCAGGGCTAAGTAGAACAGCCGCGCTATAGAGCGCCAACTCGGTTTCGGTGAGCTTCAGTTCGGCGACGCTTCTGGCCAGTTCGAACACGCAGGAAACAAGCTTCATTTCCGCTGTATCCGTCGTATAAAACGCATCCTGCGGCAGCAGGGCGTCGCCGTACAGGACGAAGTTCTGCTGGAGATCTAGGTACCTGCTCATTCGTAGCACAGCCAACTCGAAGGAACCTGTCACATTTTAATAGGATATCAGCATACTCCGCGCCGGTACACAGCGGCGCGCAGCGTCTTTCTTCTTCGCCTTCGCTTATCTAATCCCGTTGAAAAAAAAAAGAAAACCGAGGCGGAAGCGTTATCTTTGTTGCGCGAACAAAACAAGAGACATTAACGCGTTCGTTATCGCGGCTACGGTGTTATCCACTAATTCGTCAACATTATGAAGAAAAAAAAACGAGATCAATGAACTTTTCAGGGAACTTCCGGTGCCAAATTAATTTTTCGACGAAACTAAAGAATAATAATGTGACAAATCGAGGAAGGACCGAGAGAGAAAGTTCGTAATGATTAGGAAAACATCAGGTCGCTTCCGACTTTTTGTCAACCCTCAGTATAGCATCGCGGTATTAAATATTAATATCAAATTAAAGGATTAATTTATTTCTCACTTAGAGAAAAATTAGTATATTTTCTCTTGGCTCTTCTTGTAAGATTTAGAAGAAGCAATAGTCATAAAAATAAAAGCCGTAAAATAACAGTCCTTATAAATAGTTAACCTTTTGAGTGCTGAATACTTCCGGCGTAAGCAATCCTCGTGGACGCGCCTAGCGGTTTCGATCGCTGGGGATGGAATATTTTTTTCGCTAAAGTGAATTCTGTTGAATACGCAAGGCGCAACTACTTGAATAATATAAGAAAGTTATTTTCGAACATTAATTATTTTAATTAATTTTACGCACGACGCAAACCACGCCGGCGACAGTCAAACCGCGCGCCAGGTGGGGCTAAACGCATATATGCGTCCATAGTTCACACCGATAGCTTTCGCTAGATGCATATATGCGTCTATAGCACTCAAAGGGTTAAAATTGCCCCGAGAGAGCTGTGTAGAAAGAAATTCAAAAACTAAAATTGGATTCAAAATTGGATTCTAACGGTACATACCGAGAGTAAGATAAATACACAGGATAAATGCGATCATACTTACCTGTAGCACTTAAAGATCAGAAACAGAATAATTAATTTGCAAAGATTAACGTTCTTACGGAAACTCTTCAAAGCCCTTCGCAAAAGAACGATAAAGCTTTACTGGCGATTATTTTGGAAGATCGTGTAAGATATGCAGGCTACGTACCGGCCTTTAATAAAACGATCTGGTCGTCCTGCGAGAGCTTCATGAATCCGGGGACCATTTTGGCGAACTCGATGATCTGCTGGATGACGGTGGTCAGCTTCTGGGCGCATTCCAGCCAGAGCTGCTCGTGCGCCATGTTCTTGTAGTAGATCAATCTGGAGAGGTCTTGGGGCTTCCGGAAGGACTCCTGGATCTGTTCCGTTGACACCAGGCACGTCCTCGCGTGCGCGTCCGCTATCGTCTTCGAGAGAAGCTCGCTGATCTGTGCTGGATCTGCGAAGTTCCACAGCGGATTTCCCGCTCGTAATTCTTTCGCTCCGTGTGACGTGTTTAATACAAAAAAAGAGAGAAAGAAAGAGAAAGAGAGAGAGAAAGAGAGAGAAAGACAAACGGCAGAACGAGGAAAGACTTATTCAGCCAACCAAGATTTCGAGTAGGTTTCAAGCGTGATGAAGAAGGGCACGGTACGCAAGCGTGCGGTTCATATTAACTTCTGCCTGCGCAGATTACTTTCGTGTAATCGTTGCGCAAATTATTTCACGTAATTACCGAACGAATTATCCTTCTTACGCTTTTTCGTATAAATTATTTGTCTTTTCTCTTTTGTGGAAAAAAATATTCGGCGTAAGAGATTGCAAATATACGTATTGAGTCTATATAACATATTGTTGAGTTTATTGAGTTGATGCGAAAGTTTTTTTTTCGAACAAAAGTCCGCTTTTTAGTCAAAATGTATATGTAAACATTTATCTATTTTAAAATAAAATTAACCAAGTGTGCGTCGTATCGTTCGGTGTCCTGCCATTTTTCCGACAGCTGCATGATCCCGCGCTCGTAGAGATTCTGGGATTTCCGAGCAAGGAACTGAAAACGGAACGAAACTGTTGCATCAACTCGATATATTTTGCGCGATTACGGGCCATGCGAAATTATTATGCGAAAATCGGCAAAATTTTGCGGTAAAAAGAATTTGACGGCAAAGAAACACAGAGTCTGCGAATGCGTTCGTAAAGCCGGTGATATACAAGTGCGCGATGACACATATTCATGAATGCGAAATTCTGCAATCTCGCTATGCGAGCGCGATTGTAAAAAGCACGCGACCATAACAGAAAGCGTGAAAGAATATATATATTCTTATATATATATCGTTTGAAATTGATGTGTACGTACAAGTAACACGAGCCCCCATAATGTGTCGCGGCGTGACGTGAACATTCGAGTTTCCGGGAGGAGCTACGGAGGACCGACCTATATGTTTTTCATTTTTATCGCGCATTCAAATACACACGTTAAAACACTTAGAGTAATTTTATCGCGTTAGCGAGTGAGCATAGTCGGCGCCGCAGCTTGTAACACACAAAAGGGCAAGTAATTTCCATTTTTGAATAACCGTTTATGAATTTTTCATAAGGTGCGCCGCGCGTTATTCGCCGAGTTGATTAATGAATTTTGCTAGCAAATTCCCTTTTCCTCAAGATCCTATTAAAATACCGCCGTGTAATAATTTTATCGCACTACATCGTTTCACGGTAGCGCTGCATTGCTAGTAAGTGAATTATTATTCATTTCTTCTTTTTTGGACACATACGATAAGTGTATGATATTACGATATTATTTAAATATTACTTCGCGACGGAAAGGACGTGTTCTACAAATCATTACGACGACTTTAACGAAACATTCCCGGCTACCTTGCGAAATTTTCCAAAAATTCTATACGATATCAACATACTATACATGCCTCTCCGGGACGATACTACGCTTTAATGAAATTGCTCTGATAGTTTTCCATAGACGTCATCTGCATTTGACAAACACCCACGCTGCTTTCGGAGCGTCATCGTCCCGAGAGAGAAAGAGAGAGAGAGAGAGAGAGACGTGTTTAAAACGTGTGCATCGAAAAAAAATCCCGCCGATTGTTTCTTTCGCGTCTTTAGTCTCGTCACGATTCCCGATTCTTAATCCCCATCGCTCCGCCGACCTCCTCGATGTCCTCCACAACTTTCCCGCGAAACTTCGGCATAGACTAGGCGGGGGGATTAGACGAGAGCATGCTACGTGCAAAGGGACACAAACGCAACCTCACATCTCGCATGGGACATACTGGGCAGACTCGGCACTTCGTCGTCCTCGGATGGGTTGCTGACCCTCTGCTGTTGGCTGCTCAGGAAGGTCGTCGAGTCGACCATCGTGTACGAGCCGTGGCCCAGGCCGGCGAGCTCGACGGTGGTCTCCTGCTTCACGGCGACGATCCCGC